GCCACTTCGTCTCCGTCTCCTCCTCCCACTGCTGCTGTCGCTGCTCCCCTTCCCCTCACTGCCCAGACTTCCCCCCCGCTGGGGCCGGCGACGGCGATGGCGACGGCGACGGCGGCACCACCTTAGTCGCCGCCTTCACAAGCTGTTCATGTAGCGCCGGCGGCGCCGCGATAATCCCGCGGTCCAGCGGATGGAGAAACCGGCCGCGGGAGAAGTCCAGCCGCACACCCGCCGCGTCCGTGACCAGGCCTCCCGCCTCCTCCACAATCACGAAGCCCGCCGCGTGGTCCCAGATCTTCTCTTTGTAGGCGGGCGGCGGGAAGCGCATGAAGATGGAGGCACAGCCCCGGGACAGCAGCCCGTACTTCACCTGGCTGTCCATCCGGAGCGGGGGCAGCACCACGCCCAGCTCCCGGGCCTGCGGGGGTGTGTTTATGTTAGGAGGGTGGCTGGGAAAAGAAAAAGAAGAAGAAGAAGAAGAAAATGTGGGTGAATGCGGGATGAGGTGCGGACTCCGTCTACATGGTCTTCAAAATTTAAAGAGGAGGGGATAATAAAAGTAGGAATTGGAGAGAGGAGAGGACGAGTCCTTACGCTTGTTCCTTCCCGACTTCCAAATGGCCATCCCCAGGGCCCAACAAGAAAGGCCTGTTGTATTGGATTGCATTGTGTTGTATTGTACTGCGCATGTTACGACATAAATCACATACGCACGTGTGCGTGTGTGTGTAGCGTCTGTGTAGCGTGTCATGGGCACCCGAAGGAAAAGCAGCCTGCTCGGAAGGGGCGGAAACACCACGGGAGGGAGGGACCCCGCCTGCCCCCTAAAACGAAACGTAACCCACTTAACGTCATCACTGTAACGACAGGCAACGGCATCACGGGCAACGTTTCCCGCCGTTTCCTGACCTAACCCTAACCCACCATCGCGGCTGTGGTGCTGTGGCTGGAGTGCCGACTCTCCACCGATTCCATGAATCGAGCGTCCCGTGGGTCACTCACGTCCTCCACTCGGATCTGCACCGGGGCCGAGCTCTCGTCCCACAGCGGTTCCGCGTAGGCCCCGTGGTTTCGGTGCGCGGAGAATAGGCAGCCCACGCTACTGCCGCTGCTAGTGGTGGTGGTGCTGCTGCTACTGCCTGCGGCGGCGGCGGCGGCCGCAGCTGCACGCTGTGCGGCCCCCTCCAGCCCGTCCTCCTCCACCACTGAGCCCTGAGGCAGATTGGGGCAGCCTAGCACACCTAGCACGACCTGGCCGGGGGATGGGGCGGCGGCGGCGGCCGCGGCGGCGAAGGGTGTGTGGTTGGGTGGCAGGGTGGTAGGGGTGGGTGTTGCCGTGCTGGGAGATGTTAAAGGAGGTAGCGAGAAGTCAGCACGTATGGGGAGGTGGGGAATAAGGCGAGGAGGCGGGAGAAAGGGGAGGATCAACTCAGAACTCAGAACGGCACGGATACTGCAGAGAAGTAACCGTGCTCGCAGAGACGATGTATGTGCTCCGCCTCCCGGCCTGCACCGCCAAGTGCGCCACCAACGCCCCGTCCGGTCCCGCGCTCCACCGCATCCCTCCCGGGCAGGCCCCAAGCGCCGACACCACCGAGTGGCAAACACCGCTCCACACACCCCCTAAACACGCAGCTGCGCCTGCCGTTTCCCTTCCCTCTGGCCCTCTTTCTCGCCCCCCTTCACCCCCCCCCCACCAGCCCCCTGTGTTTAGCAACCGCGATTTCCTCCTCCTCGCCGCCATCATATCCTCCCCCTTGAACAGGCAAACACACGTGTCACATGGGCCCCCGGCTTTTACCTCTCCATCCTGCAGCATCCCCAGGCACACGGCGTACTGGCGCATACCCACGAAGCCCCGGGTGCCGTCAATGGGGTCCAACACCCAGTGCCGACCCGTGGGTCCACCCGGAGAGCCGCCCAGGTCTGCGCGGAGTAGAGCGGCGACAGACATTTAACAGAGGACAGACATTTAGCAGGTAAATAGGTCGGGGGTGAGGGGGGTGAGGGGGAGAGGTGCTGTTACAGGGAGATGGGGAGAGAGACACGCAACGCAAATGGGGGAGAGAGAAAGAAAGAGAGAGAACAATCGCCGCGTACAGGCGTCGTGCGGGGCAGCATGTACCACCTACCGTTTGAAACACGCATGCGCAAGTAAGTGAGTAAGTGGGGGGAGGGGGTTGCCTTGGCCTTGGTTGGAGCCTAGAACCTGGGGGGGGGTGAGGGCGCACACAAGCAAGCACCCTAGTGCGGCCTCCCCCCCTAGGCCCTAGGGCCCCTGCGACGCGGCACACGTCGGGCGAGACCCCCCTTCCCCTCCCCCCCACACCCGCCCGCCGACCTATCAGCTCCAGAACCTCCTCGGGACTCAGCTGTGCTCCCGGCTCCGCCTCCGAAATCACACTGTTGATAAGCTGCGTGATGCGCTCCAGCATGGGCCGACCCGCGGGTCGCCTCAGCTCCGCGGAGTCCTCTTCCGCCACCATGGATAGCCGGGAGGAGGGGTCAGCGCGCTGCAGGGCCCAGGCCACCACTGCCTGAGCACCTGGTTAGGGTTAGGGGGGGGGCCCGACAGGCGGGGAATGGGCATCCTTGAAATGGAGTACAAGAATTGAAAACCAAATGCCGAATTCCAACATGAGGGGTTTGAGAGTAAGGTAAGGTAAGGAGGAGGAGGACGGGGGAACCGGCTCAGGCGTCGTACGGGATGTAACCCGCACGGTCCGGGATGGCGGCCCGAGGCGGGGCGGGAGGGGAGGACAGGAGGGGAGAAGTACGTGCCGGGGGACGAGACAGGAGGCGGAAAGGAAAAGAGGGAGTGGTCGAGATAGGAAAAGGAATGTGACATCGGACATCGGGACATTGAAAGAGTGTAATTGTTAGTGCGAGGCGGGGGGGGGAAGGAGGAATCGTGGGGAGGTGGTGGCACTGAGGAGCCTGATTTCCTAAAGCCAGAGCGTTGACGACTTACAGAGTCAGAAATCAATCAAATCAGGGAGATGTTTTCGGGGAAAGATATTTCCCGGGGGATACTTTCCCGTTGCGTATTCAGCATTGTCCTTAGGTAAGGGGGCGGCGGTAGATAAAGGGGGGGGATGGAATACCGCACCCGGACACGGATTGGGGTCAGATCATGAAGTGGAACGGGGGATACTTGGTTGTGGGGATGTGGGTTAGAAGGGATGCACGTACGTGTGTTATCGCGCTCCCTTAGATGCAGGCATGAAGAGTGCTGGGCATGTTTGGTGATAAGAAGCCCGCCATACTATTTTCAAAAGGCGAGACAGATTCCAAACGAGTATTCAGACAAAGAAGTGATAAAGGTGAATTATCTTGTAGTCTTTTGCCTGATGGCTGGAATCTCACCGTAGTCTGCAACCGTTACAGGCGAGTCATCCTTCTTGTCTACACGCTCCTCAGCGCTAAGCTGGCGCTGAACGATCTACGAATCATTGAAGGTAGAGCCGAAGTAAGCGACGACTGCCATGGCCAGCGCACGACCGCTGGGACAGGTGCAGAAAGGATTCCTGCTAAGGTCGCTCCCTAGCCCACACCTGGCACAACTTCGACGCAAGTCGCACAGCTGCCTTTGCGCTTTCAAGCTCTTTTCCGTACTGCAGCGCTTGGGGTGCGACATCAACCACGACGCTCGGTGCCGCGTGGGGCCGCACATGAGGACGCCACGGGGTCCTCCGTTTGTTCGCTATATGAGTATTGCTGGCCGGCCTCTGATATCGCCGAACAGATGCTTGCATGGCGAATAACGCGTCCTATAGTTGGAAAGGGCTTTAAACTTAGCGGGCTTCCCTCAGGAAAGCTAACTTTTGTAAAGCGGGAGGCAGGCAAAAATCCTGTCACAAGCAGTTTATTTACAGGGACCGCGCTGCGATGACTCTTGCGCAAGGATTTTGTTTTGCTGACGGTTGTACTGCGGATTAATTTCTGACTGAAGAGACCGGGAAACATGCAAAAGCCCAAGACACTTGCCAAAAACGTGGACTGTCGCTCCAATGTTTTTAACATGACCTCATTATTATTGCGCGCGGGTGGCTCCACCTGTCTACTGTACCAAAACGTGCGAAGACACCAACTGTTCCTTCCGAAACGCTCATATAGATCCATTAATGATTTAAAAAATTACACAACGGAGTCTGGGTGCCTATACAGCTCTCGGTGTTCGCCGGCGAGACGAACATGCGAGCCCGTGAAGGCCTCTGCCGACTCCATCGACCCCGACCTACCAGGAGATCCCAGTCGGGACCCTATAGGACGTCAAGAAGGGCTTGGGAAAGGACCTGTGCCTGTCAAACTCTTGGTGGGTTTGGGTTACGGACATTGGGTTGTTGCAGGGTGGTTGGGTTTGCCATAACGTCAAACCGCCCGAATCCGGATCCAAGACTCGCCTGGAGTCGCCACCACGCGGGGCTCTTGGAGATCTCGTGCTAGCGGTTTCCTCCAGCGCACTACTCCTCGGGCCGTTCATTTTTCCCTGGCGGGCGCCCCCCCCCTTTGACCTCTTTCCTGACGGCCTCTCGCACCCCTAATCCCACTTTGCATGGGGCACGCATGTGATCCATCGCATATGATCGCATCCGGGAGTGTCCGTCCTGCTCAGCCCCCTGCCGTCAAACCTGGGAGCAAAGGCGCTTTATAATTCTGTACTCCCTCCGCCTCCCTCCAAAACCAAATCCAAACTCAAACCTTAACACAGGCGCTCATAGCCGTCGTCCTGCTGACCGGGGTCAGCAACCGGGTGCTGTACCGGATGGCGCTGGTTCCGCTCCGAGACCACATCTTCTTCCTGGCCCAGCTCCAGAACCTGGGCTACCTGGCGGTTTATTTCACGGCCCTGTGGTGGCGGAGCCGGTAGGGATGTGTGTGTGTGTGTGTTTGTGCGTGTGTGTGTGTGCGTGTGTGTGTATGTTTGTGTGTGTGTGTGCGTGTGTGCGTGTGTGTGTTTGTGTGTGTGTGTGTGCGTGTGTGTGTGCGTGTGTTTGTGCGTGTGTGTATTTGTGAGGTTCAGAGGGGGCGCCACCAGCCGCGATCCATGAAGGGGACAGCTGTATGGTACTGGTGCTAGTACTGGTACTGGTACTGGTGCTAGTACCGGTATCATGGGGGGCACAAACCCCCCTCTTACCCCCTCCTTCCCCTCCCCCCTCCATCTCCGTCACCCCGACCGCAATCAGATGCCGTCAGGTGACCCCCCCGATGCTGAACGTGGACAAGCGGCCGTTGGTGCTGGTGGGGGCCTGTGAGGCAGTGGCCCAGCTGCTCTTCATGTTGGGCGCGGCGCACCTGCCGGGGCCGCTACTGCCGCTGGTCAACCAAACGTACCTGGCGTGGAGTCTGGTGTTTGCGAGCGCCATCCTGGGAACCAGGTGGGGGGGGAGGGGGAGGAAGGGGGGGGAGTTATGTGAGGGCTAGCCGGGAGAGGTGTTAGCTAAGGAGGGAGGTGTGGAAGGGCGGATGGAGTGATGGGAGGTGGGAGGTGGGGGGGTAGGTGGCGCCAGGAGATGCGGGTCCATGGACACGTGTCGGGGGTTGGGGGGGACGGGGGAGCGGGAAAAACCCCGATCGGGGGGGGGAAAAAGGGCGGGAGAAGACGAGACAGCTTAGCCTAGCCTGGTTGCCGCTGGTGCTGCTGGTGCTGCTGCTGGGCGGCTTGTGGGCGGCAGTAGCTCGTTTAGGTGTCCGCAGGGGTTGGTCGGAGAGGAATGGGAGGGGTTAGGAAGTAGGAGGACACAAACGCGGAGGGTTGACACGAACACGACTGGTGGCCGTACTGGTGGCCGTACTGGTTACCTTCTTTCCTCCGCCCCGCTTGCAAGCAGTAGCCGTTGCGGCTGCAGCTACTGCTCCTGGCTGTTGACGTCATCAGCTGCGGCAACCCCCCATTTTCACTGCTGTCACTGCTACTGCTCCAGATATTCCCGCTCCCAGTTGTTGGGTGCGGCGTTGGTGCTGGCGGGTGTTTGTGCGGCGGCAGTGCAGCCCGCTACCCTGGCACACTTGATGGCGCATCTAGGGTGGGGAGGGGGAGCAGCAAGCGCCACTGCTACTGCGGCCACTGCTACTGCTACTGCGGCGGCGGTGGAGCTCCGCTACGTGGGCGTGTGTGTGGCGTGTTTCGCATTTCCCGCCATCGCCAACTGCATTAAGGAGCGTGTATTCAGGTGGGCCATTGCTGGTCTCGCTGGGGGGTGAGGCGGCAGGAGGCGTTTTAGGGTCTTAGGGTTTTTTTAGGTTGGGGGAGTGTTAGTGGTGTGGGTTTTGGGGGAAATAAATGTAGATATGTGGCGCCACTAATCTCGCCAAAACAATGCGTAGGGGTGCAGGTGGAGGGGTTGCAGGAGAGCCGTTGGCGACCAACCCACTCAACCGTCGGCCAACCACCTTACGGGCAAAGGCCGGAGGGTTCCGGAGGGGCAGCAAGGGCCGCGTGGTGGGGGTGGGCTGGTGGGGGTGGTGGAGATGCCGTACAGCACCGTGCCGATATCTATCTATCTATCTATCAAGGTCTATCTATCTATCTATCTATCTATCAAGGTCTATCTATCTATCTATCTATCAAGGTCTATCTATCTATCTATCTATCTATCTATCTATCTATCTACAGGTCTGTCACTCTATTTATAAATCTATAGACCTGTGTGCTGGTCCCCCCCCACCCCCCGCCGCTGCATGCGCGTCTTCGAGCTGTACAGGTCTTTTGCCGCCGTACACGGCCGCACCCTGGATATCTTCGTGGTGAACTCCTTCGGCTCCCTCTTCCAGGCGGCCTTCGTGCTGCTGCTGCTGCCCGTCATGACAGCCGTGAAGGGCACCGCGCTGGCGGACCTGCCCACGCACCTGGCCGCGTCGCTGAGGGTGTTCGCGGGCAACGTCCCGCCGGAGGTGTCAGGCGTGACGGGCGCGGCGGCGGCGGGGGGATGGTGGGTGCCGTACACGGTGCCGCTGGTGGCGTTGTCGTACGTGGTGATGAACTTGGTGTTCAACATTTCCATTCTGACGCTTCTGCGGAGGTGAGATGGGCCTGCGTGCCTGGGGGGGTGGGTGGGGGTGGGGTTGGGGGTGGGGGTGGGGACGCCCCGGAGCGGCGGGTCTTTGTGCGTGTGTACGTATGTATGTATATAGGGTGTGTATTTCCCCCCGGGGGATCGAGCGTATGTGCGTGTGTGCGTGTATGGCAACGCGCCGGTTTGTCGAGGAGTTCCAAATCTGCGCGAAGTGGGAAGAGGATTGCCTTCGGGTGGAGGGGGGGAGGAGGGGGGGAGGCGGCGCGTCCAATACGCCGCCTCCATCTTACACCGCCGCCGCCGCCGCTGGCCCTCCGCTGCCTGCACCCCCCTATAGCAGCAGCCGTACTGAGCCGTATCAGCTGAGGCGCTGCAAGGAGATTAAATGAGGTTCGGACGTACATACATGCAGATGTGCATTTCATGTCAGATGCACTTATTCCGTACGAGGCTATGCTTACGTAACCCACCATCTCCCCGCCTCCCAAAAATTCGGCCCTGCCCTGCCCTGCCCCCAGTGTCGGCTCCGTCACCACCACCTTGGTGGCTTCGTCGCTGGTGCCTCTCACCATTGCTGCCTTCACATTGCCACTGCCGTACCTGGTGAGGCGAGGTCGGAGGTCGTTGTCAATGTGGTGTGTATGCGGATTTAGGGAAGGGGGGAAAGGGGGGGGGGGAGGAAGGGTGGAATGCCGAGGCCTTGGGTGGAATGAGGGGAACAGGCAGAGCTGTCTGTCTGTCTGTCTGTCTGTCTGTCTGCCCGTTTGACACCAGCCGCCCACCCTGCAAAGGCAGCGACCCGCCGCATGTATGTATGCATGTATGTATGTATTCTCTACGAAAAGGATGATCGCGTCTGCTCATCTCAGCTCTGTATGATTAGCCATGAACAACAGCAGTAGCAGTAGCAGCAGCAGCAGTAGCGCTACTACCTCTCCTACCCTCTTACCCCCATCGTCCCCTCTTAAAAATTACGGTCGTTCCTATCGTACACACATACACACACGCACGCAGGAGCCCGCCCTCATAGGGCCCAACTTTGTGGTGGGCGCATCGCTGCTGATGGCGGGCCTTGTGACGTACAACAGTGACAGTTGGCGGGCACTGCTGGCGAGCAGGGTGTCCGCCGCAGCGGCCCCGGGGCCCCCGGGGGGTTAGGGGCGGGGGAGGGCGGGTTAGGGGCGGGGGAGGGGCGGGAAGGTGTTTCTGCCGCGAGTGGGTCGGTGCTGCGAGGCGGGAGGGGGTGATGGGGATATGTGCTGGAAAGCTGCCCCCCCGGGGGGCCTGTGGCGCAACCCCCGGGGGCGGGGAGCGGGGGGTTCTTGGAGGGGTGGGGGGGTTCCTTACAGGGGCGGGGTCCGTACAGCAGCCCAACGGCGCACAGTACCGCCAGCACTAGCTGCACCTGCTGTGCACCTGCTGCTGTAGAAGCGGCAGAGAGGGGGGAGGCACTTCGCCGCTGGAGGAAGCACCAGCAGCCTACTTGACGTGCAGCGAAGATGTCGTCCACTTTCCCCCTCGCCTTGGTATGCCGTACATGGTCGAGGGAAGGTGCGCGGTGCTGCCGTAGCATGGCATGAATGGCCCCGGGGAGGTGCTGGAGGGGGTGATGTGGATTTGGGTATGGTTTGTGTGTGTGTGTGTGTGTGTGTATGAGGGGGTGTTGGAGACCCCGGGGGGAATCAAACAGCACACCGCGACCTGCGGGCTGTGGCCCCGGGGGGAAGATAGTGGCCCCACTGCCCACGGGCATCATTACCACCACCAGCATCATCATCATCACTACCATCATCATTATTCAGACCACACACACACACACATCCGTCTTTGTGTGTGGCGGGGGGGGGTGGATACCCCCCGCGGGGGGGGTGGAAGGGGGATGTCGGCGACAAGAGGCAGCAGCGGTGCTGCCGGCACGTAATACCACCCTAATTGCGATGTGTGTTCCCCCCACCCGCAGTAGTGGGGGTTTCCAGAAACCGGCTTTTTTTCCGTTAGTTCGTTTCCGTTAGTTGGCTTCTTTTTTGTCTGTTCGTGTTACTCCTCTGTTCCCGCGTCTCCTCTTTTGGCTTCGAAGGCCTTTTTTGTGTTTTATTTTCCGTCGGCACAGCGATGTGCGATGATGGCCATCGATCTGACCTCAGCGGGTGCGTGTTTAAACGAAAAAAAGGGGGGGAAGGGTCTGACATTGAATGCGCTAAATTCATATCGAGAGAGACTTGTGGGCCGCATACGGCTGTCGTACGGTACGGAGGTAAGCTATAGGGTCCCACTCGTACGAGGTCATGTAGACCGAAGGAGGGATGGGGTGGGGTGTTAGGGGCCGCGGGGGCCGGGGTGAGGCTTCTAGAGGTAAGAGTGAGAGGTAGTCTTGTTACGCGCGTGCTGCTCGTCCTGCCGTACAACAATACGAGGCGCATTCACATGGTGTTGCGGGTACGTACGACATCAGGCTTGGGTCGAAACCGGCATGTCTCCCCGTGTACTCTATGAATTGCGCATATGTGTATTATGTATGTATGGATGTATGTATGGATGTACGTATGGATGTATGTATGGATGTAGATTGTGTGAGAGAAGATGATAAATATGTGTATACATATGTGCAGATAGATGTTTACCCAAGACTACAAGATTACACGAAAAGCATTACCTCTCATATTATCGAACTGTGGGTCGGTCATGTGATCCAGCCAAACGGCAAGAAGACAACGGCCCTCCCCAGGGCCACCTACACATCTCACACACATACATCAACACGACTCCTCGCTGAAACACATCGCACACACGCACACACACGCGCGGCATCGCACCAACAACCCATCAGCATCAGCAACCAGGGCAGTGCAAGGCTTGGTGCGGGGGAGGAGGAGGAGGAGGAGGTTCGCTCCCCCAACAGCCGCAGTCGCTGTCCATCCATCGCGCCGGGATTGGAACGGACGGAACGCAACGGAACGATAGAGCCACTGGAGAGCCACTAATACACCAAATACACGGACAGCTCTATAGCACCCGAGCCCCGGGTTCAGGTCCCACCCCCGAGCCCCGGCAAACAAGCTGAACCTGTCGTGTTCTCTGCGACACATGAGATACATACATACATACATACATATATCGCACATACATACATGCATACATACGTCGTTTAAACGCAAGTCTTCAAAGAATTTTCCAGCGACTCTCCCCACCCTCGCGTCCGCGACGCACGCAACCTAGGCTGCCTAAAAAGCGAAATGATAACAAAGCCGCTATAACGACAACAACAATAACAATAGCTATGCAACAATACAAGAGGACATGGCGGTCGCGATATCGATGTGTGATACCTCCTGTTCGTCCAACGACGGTTGTGAAACAGGTGATGGATCGATAGTGGTTGCAAATAGTCAGCCGCTGCTGCATGTGCGGAGACAGTTTTGACAGTTAGGACACACCACCAACAGCAAACTGAAACGAAAAAACGGAACGAAACAAGCCGCGCAGCACACATTCCAAATCATATTTTACATGGTTCAAGTCCGACACGGTCATCATCTGAATTGACGCTCTGTACCGCGAGGACGAGGAGGACACGTGAGGAGGGGAATCAAAGACGCGATGGCAGCTGCGGAGGAGGTGGCCGGGCCCCCGAAGAATTGGGTCAGGTAGCTTAGCAGCTCTATACAGGTGGCGACAAATACGTAAAATAATACACTTAGCTGCTCGCCCGAACTGCACCATTACTGTACGATGATGAAAGCTCACGTGGGCTTAATCGCGGTATTATTCGCGGGTTTCGAGAGCCGTCCGAACCCTCGAAAACGAATGAACGAACGAATGCGGGAATATCCCCCCCCTTCGTCTGACTGCACAACACACACCACAGCAGCTGTGCAGAGAGCCCAAGCGTGCGAATAACGAATAGGGAACGAGAGCGCCCGCGCGCAATCGGCGCGGGCGGCCCCCTCATTCCAAAGCGCGCCAGCTTCTCGTCTTCAAATGCGCTGCGAGAGGATCCCCCGCTCCGACACCGATCCTCCTCTACCCACCCATCACACGTCCTCTTCTGTCCCCAAAAGCCGCAACAGCACAAATGTGGCCCCGTAAATTAACGCGACAGAACTATCGTACAGCAGTAACACAGGAGCGCCAACAGGAGAAACGAACGCAAGATGGGGCAACCTTAGATGGCCCGAGCGGCAGCCACAGCCACACACGTGTGAGAGTGAGAGAGAGAGTGTGTGTGTGTGTGTGTGAGCGTTGTTGTACCTCATCGTACCTCGTTCAGCTCCCCCCCCCAACGGTTCAGGAAAGGTAAACCCCTGCAGGCGATAGGAGGATGGTCGAGTCCTAAGCATTCCGAGGAAAAAACCCTCTAACCAACAGACAGACAGACGGACACGCAGGGACAGCGCCTTGCCTACAAGCACGACCTGGAACGATGCCAACACTCGCACAACACAAAGCTCACGAACCACCGGACGCACGTAGCGTCACGTAACCGTAAAACTACATACATGAGGCGGAGGAATACATATACATATAAAATACAAAGGGGTTCCAGATATACATCATGGGAAGGCTCAAGGAGCACGAATGAACAAGCAAGCAGCAGCTGGGTGTGCGTCTGTCGAAGTGTCTGTACAAGAGGCGCAAGAGCTACTTGGCAGCCAGCCCTTCTATCTATATGGGGCCGGGGGGGGGAGGCCCCCGCCGCCGCCACCGCCGCCGCCACCACCCCCGTAAGCAGCGCCGCCACAATTCGCCGCCACTGCTTCAGGGAAACGAATGAAGAAGCTCCTCGAAGTTCTTACGGCTTCAGGAGCTATGCCATTTCACTTGCTGTCAGGGGCGCGCGCCCAGCCTCACACATATCCCCCCTCCCTTCCCAAATGTGGCATCACAGCTCTCAGCCCAGACGCACCTAAAAAAACAGCCCACACATCTGTCTCAACCTGTCTCAGCCAACAGCCTGACTCGGTCGCAGTCATCATCCCCCTCTCTCTCCTAGACCCCTCACCTCGCCGGCCCCATACCTCTCCTCCATTCCCTCCCGCGACCAGCTTCCTCTTCCCCCCGGGGAAAAACATTCGTATGTATCCACCACAAAGGGAAAAGGGAAACACATTTGTCGTACAACGTCGTCCCGGGAGTGGTGGTTAGAAACCCGGACCTTGCGGGAGCTTGCTGCGTCCTTCTGGTCTTTTGCTCTTCTGGACTTCCTTTGGCCGGATGTGGACTACCTTCACCTGCTGTTGGCCTTGGCGCCCGTGTAGGATCCCTTCTTCCCATCTCGCAGCTCGCTCCCGGCTGCTCTGGCGCGTCTTTCCTTCATGTTCATCGCCCCGACGATGGTGGCCTTCAGACGCCATGTGGCGAAAGTGCGAATGGCGGTGTGGTCCCCAATCTCAGCTTCCAGCCCCCGGGACTTTCCGTACTTAGGTCGACGTTGTATATGGGGTTGCCTATGGGGTTGCTGAGGACGGGCCGTCCACGTCGTCTCTGGACATGTGGGCGCTTCCGTTGCCCACGGCGGGCTCGGTGAGGGAAGCCTGCAAGCTGGCCATGGCCGCAGCTCGCATCAGTCGTGTGTTTGCCTCCCGAGTCTCCTTGCTTGCCATCTCCGCCACCTGCTGCCATTCGAACTCGTCCAGATAAGCCTCCCGGACTTCCATCAATCGCAGGGCTACGGCGATGGCAGCAGCAACAGCAGTAGCAATGGCAGTAGCAGTGGCAGAAAGGAAACGTCTCAAAATGTGTGGCCAACCTCGTGGCCAAAGGACCTCGACCTCCCAGAAGGAGCAAAGACGCAGCCGATATTGCATGGCGGTAGAACAACAACTTCAACAACACTAACAACAACATCAACGGCAACACAGATCGGTAGGCAGACGAGGCGGCTGCTAAGTAGACGAAGAAATCTGTTTGGCTTGACGTGGTGGTGGTGGTGCTGGTGGTGGTGCTGGTGGTAAAAGGTAAGAGGGCTACGAGGAGGGCTAAAGACGCGACAAGAAGGCGAAGACGAAGACGAAGAAGATAGGGGAGCGGGGTCACTCGTGCGTCGATGGTGGAGGTGAAGGTGAAGGTGGGGCGTGCAGGAAGACGAGCGCGGGGGAAAACTCTGCTCTCGTATTCCGCCGCCCGTGCCTCTTTGCGCGAGGGGTAACTCACTCACCCAGCGCATGGTTCTTCCGCATGACGTTGGCTAGCCACTCGTCGCCGCCGTCGCCCTTCATGGGCACTCCCAGGAAGTCCATCAGGTCGAGGTAGTCCTGTTGATTGTAGCTGGTGTGGCCGGTCGGCGAGGGACCCGCAGGGCCTTGAAGCTGCTCAAGAACAACCCTGCACGAGACGCAGAGGAGCGACACAAGAAATGGACAAATGGTAGCTTTGGGGGTTTAGTTTTCTTTTCCACGTTAGGTTTTTATGTTTGATGTGGTGCGTCGTTGTGGTGTGCATGCGGGAGTAAGGCGTCGTGTCGTTGCGGCGTTGCCATGGCGCCCCGTAGACCGGTTAGGGTTTACCATTATTGACCTGAATTGCTCACAATGCGGGCTACGGTATAGAGTGCTTTGACGTGGGATGGGAAGGTTATAATATGTTATTTGAATAGAAGATTAGCTTTAGCCTTCGCAGCGGTAAGTGTCGGAAGATTCGAACCATGTCAAGTAAAACGTGAAACCGCCCACAGCGTTGCTTGCTCACTTGAATTGTCCTTTAAGAGTCCATACCTTGCAGCAACAAACGTAAACAGAGACCTGAGCGCAGTGGCGGCTTTTCGCTCTGGAGACTGTCCGCTGAACGAGTCCGCCGGCACGTACATTCGGGCAATTGGGGTAAAGCCCAAGTATCTCCGTCTTTGCATGCATGGCCTGTAAAGCTGACTTCGCCCGACTGGACGAACCCAGGCAGCTCGACGACCTGAGATTGTGTTCTCTTTTAGTTCAAACATGACTTCACCAAGTGCTCGCAACGGCCTGGATGGCAGTAAGTTCAACGGCGGGGCGTTCAAACAGCAGCGGGGACTGTCAGTGTAGTTCCGTAAAAAAACTGCGCACTCGGAAAGTGATTATTATTGGGTGATCACTATGCCTCTGTTGGATAGTTGTGGTCCTTAGTGCCCTTTCCGAACTTTTGACTTGTTTCGAAGGGAACCGTACCCGCTCCGAGACTTGATTTTGCCAACTCCACACGCAATTCCGTTCTTCCACAGCCATATGCAAGTAGTACATTTTCAAAGCACTCCTCGGGTGCTCAGCCTTGCAAGGAGCCTGCGACTAGGGCTCAGCGGCTCTTCAACTTCCTTTGACTCCTCATTGCTTCATATCATAGCACCAACCTAACTTCGAAACCGGCATCAAAATGTGTTTCAAACCCAGTGTAACCTTTCTGTTTGACCTTTCTTCCTCCTCTTCCCTCCCCTTTTCCTCTCCGGGGCCTAGCCTGTTGGTCCATCCAGCTGCACCGTGTGTGGTCCGTCCGGCGCACGTGGCGCATTGCGTGCTGTGCACAGCAGGAAATCTGCGCCTTGAAACCTTATCTTGATAGTGATGTGGGAATGGCGGAGGTGGCAGCGGCTGTCTTTTGTTGGTATGGTGTTGGTATGGTCTGGTCCAGAGGGTTGCAGAGATGGGGGATTGGGGGCAGGTACTGGTCAGGCGGGATGGGGAATAGGGTTGACGACGTCAGGATGGGATGTGGGGCCCAGGGCGAGGATTAGGGATTAGGCGTGCTACACTACTTTTGGGATGGGGATTGCTGTCGGGGGTGAGGATGGGGATGGGATCCCTGTCTGAGGGATGGGGATTGCAACCTTGACCAAGGAGGGGATTGGGAGCCCTGGCCAGGGATGGGGATGGGACCCTGGTCGACAGGACGGGGATTGCAGGCTTTCGCAAGTTTAGGATGAGGTCGCTGCCATAGGATTGGGAACACAGTTGGAGGATTAGAATTGGGTGTTCTGCTGTAAAATGAGGCTGCAGGTGCAGAACTTGGAATACTGACAGGACTGCAAAACAGGCCAAGGATGGATGGTTTAGTTGTCCATAGTTGCTTACATGGAAACTCAAACAAACACAAGGAAGTCCTGCTTGCAAGTCGCGTCCCATAGCAAACCAAACTCAAACACAAGGAAGTTCTGCTTGCAAGTCGCGTCCCATTGCTAACCAAACTCAAACACAAGGAAGTTCTGCTTATAAGTCGCGTCCCATAGCAAACCAAACTCAAACACAAGGAAGTTCTGCTTGCAAGTCGCGTCCCATAGCTAACCAAACTCAAACACAAGGAAGTCCTGCTTGCAAGTCGCTTCCCATAGCTAACCAAACTCAAACACAAGGAAGTCCTGCTCCGGCATCGGCCGACTGCCCGATGGGGTCCATCCCAAGCGTTTCCACGATGACTTCGGCCATGTCCCTGGCGAAGCCCAACCCCGTGAATTTTGCCAGCTTTTGACGCTTCTGCAGAAGGTTAACACCATTGGGAATAGAACAGGCATGGAACGCGACTTGGTGTAAATGTGAGAAACGTGCACCATTGGTGCCAGTTCTTCAGTCAGACGCAGTCCAACCCCGTTCTTACCTTGTCCGGCCCATGCACATCCACACCCAGGGCACCATCGGATGCCATTCTGGAAGAGATAACAAACGGTCGTCGGGCTGTTAATAGCTTGCGCTTAAGAAGGTGGGCGTCTTCCAAGACGAAGTTTGGGACACTTTGAATAAGACCCGAACGTAATCTGTATGCAATCTGCAGACCCTACTGGGGGACAAGTCCGCAGGAGGCGTATCAACATGCAAGACGTTATCAACAGCAAGCCGGTTTGGGGGTCCAAGTACAGACTGTCACGCTGACTAGTTGGACAAGGCTGTATGCTCTTCTGCGTGAAGGCATAATGACTTCACCAGGAGAGCAGCAAGAATGAAGTCGCCACTGCGACCCAGTTGTACGACAGCACCACAGAACCAGCCTTAGACGATCCGGTCGCTTCGCTCCGTCGCATCTAAGCCAACAAAACGTTATCAACAGCAAGCCGCTTTGGGGGTCCTGGCTCAAAGTGAGGCCCACCCTGGAGTTAGTTGTTAAGCTTTCATGTTACTTCCTCATACAGACTGCTTCTCTAGTACTGTGATGTTTTATTGGTTATATTCATGCAAACTGAGCTGAAGTTGCAAGGCGCGAAGATGCTGGCCGCATCATGCCGCACCGCATTCCCAAGCCAGTATGCACAACTCTGAGAAAGTTTGCAGTCTTTATTGTTTTGTTGTGGCACACCTCCACGTAACTCTGCACATTATAGTGCATAGGAGCAATTCTTGCGCAGAAGTCCAAGTCGACTCAAAAGCATTCCAATTGGACTGTCTGGCTTGATGTAATGTTATCAGGTTGTTTATCGTAGCGCTTTGGCGCCCCCAACGTGGAATGTTGGCGCCGGAATGTGCAGCTGAACTCCTGCGCTGTGAACCTGAACCAATGGTGCACGTTCCCAGCCATGGACATTTTGACAGAACACCCTTGTACGTTCTGCCATTCTAACCATAGCATTATAATTTGTTGCTGTGGCCGTCCTTCGAACATAACAGTCCTTCCCCCCTTAGGACGCGCGATTTGCAATAGCAGCCAGTGTGCAATTAGATACGTAGACCTCTGTGATGCGAGTTCTTCCTCAGTCGAGATCCGCTTCAACGAGCGTTTGTCGCTTCAGTCTGCTTCGAACGAACACAGCCGGGCGGAATTTGACGCTAGAGGAAATAAGCCATAGAGCAAGAGAAAAATATCTCGCGGAAATAGAAAATAACCCTGGTCATTCCCCTGATTTACGCCTAAAGAGAAAGCCGATATTACAGCACCTGTGTAAACGTAAGGAGTAGGTTTGTAGCTGGCAAGGGATGGGGATGGGACCCTGGCTGACAGCTTTCGGATCTGAACACAGCTGCAGGATGGGGATGGCCCTGGTCGAAGGGATTGGGAAGGGACCCTGGCTGGCAGGATGAGGATTGGGGGAACACAGCTGCAGGATGGGATTGGAAACCCTGGCCATAGGATTGGGGATGGGACCCAGGCTGGCAGGATGGGAAACCTGTCTCAAAGGATGGGATTAGCACCGGGCCCCTAAGATGGGAGATGGGAGTCGGTCACCCCAGCCAGGATGGGGGGATGGCTGACCACTACCACCCCCCGGGATTGGGGGATTAGACCGTTTTTGCAACCCTCTGGTCTGGTCTAAGCCGCGATGAGGGAAATGGTGGCGATGGTGCTATGTGCCATGGATTCGATGCTGCCCTCGTGGTGGCTGTGAGTTGCGGACGTGACACGCGGAGCGTCGTTGACAGGACCACCGGACAGGTGGGTTATTCAGAGTCATCCCTCCGGTGGTAATCGCCATTGGCGCCGGCGGGCCCCCCCCCCCAAGTCTCAGGGATGGTGCTGCTCCTGCATGGCACATACACACATACACACATACGTACATACGTACACACATACACGCACACGACACGTTTCATGATCACCCAGGACATTGCCGCTCCAGATCTCGACTCCTGAAGTCATCTCACACCGCGCACTACCGCCACCTGCTGTCCCTGTCCCTGTCCCTGCCGGTGCCGGTACTGGTGCGGTTCCTCAACCCCTCCTCCTTCCTCCTCCTCCTCTTCCTCTTCCTCTCCTTCTACCTCCAGCTCCACCACGCTGCACAAACAGTTCCACGCGCCCTTAAACAGCAGCAGGTGAGCGAGCCGGCACTGCGCCAGCCACCGCTCCCACGCCAACCCAGCCGCCACTGCCTGTTGGTGATGTTGCTGATGTTGCTGTTGCCGGTAGTGGTAGTGGTGCGACCCGTGATGCCCCTCACGCTCCGCTGCCGCTGCCGGCACCATCGCGAGTGGCAGCGGCGGTGGCGGGGCCGGTCGCTGCCTCGGCAGCAGCGGCGCCGCCAAGCAGCCCTCCAACAGCAGCTGAAACGCTGTGGCCTGCAGCTGCAGCTGGGCCCGGCCATGCGCCACAGCCTCCTGCAGGGAGCTGCACAGCAGGGCCGGCGGTGCGGCCGCACGGCGGTGCGCTGTCCCGGCTGCCACCAGGAACGACCCGGGCAACAGGACCTGCCAGGGAGGCCGCTGCTGTGTAGCCGGTCCTGGTCCAGACCCTGATAACTGCTGAACCGGTCCTGAACCAGGTCTCCCAGCCGCTGAAGCAGTAGCACACGCATCACTATCAGCAGCAGCAGCAGCAGCTGATGGGTCACCCAGGGGGAGTAAGGGCACCTGGGCCCACATGGCATCTGGCAGCCAGAACCCCAGCGGCCGCCGCATGCGGATGCTGGCATCGCCTGCCGGCCCCCCGAGGGGGCTAGGGGTGGACAGCGGCCTGTATAGCGGCGCACCAGGACCCGGCAGGCTGCCGCTGCGCCTGCTAGCCGGGCCACCGCCGGAACCACCGCTGCCGCTGCCGCCGCCCCCACCCGCCCCAGCTGCACCGCCCAGCAGCGCGCGCAGGAAGCGGTTCCTCCACAGCACAACAGACTCCTCGAGCTCCTGACCGTCCACCTCCAACGCAACGGCCGCGGCCGCTACCGCGTCACAGCCGCTGGCGGCACCGTCGCTGTTGGCGTCGCGGTCACTGTTGCCTACGCGGCCGTACATGCCAGCGGCAGGCAGCGGCTGTGGCGGCGGCGATGGTGCCGACGGCGTGCTTGAGGCAGGTGTCGGCGCCTCCTTTCCTGTCAGGGCGATCACTCGCAGTTGGGCCTGCAAGTCGTCCAGCTCCAGACGGAGGAGCTCCACGTCAGCCAGCAGGGCGGCGCAGGTGTCCGCCTGGGCTGTACGGCGGCTGGCGGCCGCCACGCCGCCGCCAGGCGTGCCGCGGGATCTTGCCAACTCTGAGAGGGACTGTGGAATGTTGAAGACGGAGAGGGATGGCGAGCGAAAGCGCGAGGCGGCCCCCGAGGCCACCCAGATCCATGAGAGAGCATGAGGGCGCTGTTTTAAAGCTTTGTGGATGCTGGAGCCCAGGCCCAGGGACATCCATCCATCCATCCACCCACACACCCACACACACCCTCGCACATGGATGGCTCGCGACATCTGCGGTTCCCCCTAAGCGTGCTGGAGCCTCCCGGCACCCACACGGCTACACTACCAGGATAGACACGGGACCGACAGGCACATGCACCACGGGCTGCTGTCTGCAATCGCGGTACATGAGCCCTTTTGAGGACCCCATGCACCTGGCGGAAAATACTCGAGCTCGTACCTGGATCAGCCAGGTCTCTGCAGCCACTAGCGCCGCGAAGACGACCTGGGCCCGGCGCCGCAGCTCCCCCGGCGACTGAGGCACCGCCGCCGCCGCAGCCGCCGCCGACGACGACGATGACGACCGGCCGGGCCCCAATGACATCCGGCTCAGCTGCCCGGCAGCTCGTGCCTTAGGACCTCCGCCACCGACTCTGCTGCTGCTGCCGCTGCTGCTGCTGATGATGATGATGTGCGGTTCTGCGGTTTGGTGTCTGGTGTTGTTGTTGTTGTGGTACAGTCGAGCAAGGTCCGAGCGGTAGGCACGTCCGGCTGTCGATACGGTATCCGGCAGGGAATGGCTGCTCGCCCCGGTGTCCTTGTCGCCTGAAGGAGCGGATAGGGAAGGGGAGGGGGTGCATATATATATGGGGGGACAGCAAAGTCAAGGAGGGGAAAACAACAACAACAACAGCCGACGGCATTCAAAGATGCGCAACCTAATGCAGTCCTCCTGCTGGGGTGCCTTGCCGAGATCTTAATCCCCGCACAGCTACTACCAAGAAATACACTTTTTACTCATTTATCTCACTACAAACATACAAACACACACACATAGATACTAAAAAGCATTTATCAATCCGTTGATTCAGATGGGTACCGCTGCTTGCGCTCGCCAAACTCAGTCTCTAAGCTGCTGCAGTCCCCGTCCCCGCAACCAAACGCGGCACCACGCGACGCACCCCTTCGTTGCTGCTGCTGGTTGTGGTGCATCAGCAGCAGCTGGTCACGGGTTTGCATCGTCTCCCGGTAGCGCTGCATTGCGCGCCGCAGTGCCAGCGGCAGCTGAGGCAGCCCTGCCGGCTTGGCCGCCCCATCACCCGCCTGCTGGACCTGCTGGGGCTGGTGGCCATCGCGATGGTAATACCCTTGCACGCCAAGACCGCCATCCGCGCCGCCTGCCAGCGCTGCCGCGGCCGCCAGCGCGCGCTGCGCCGCCGGCGGCAAGTGCGAGCTCGCATCTCCCAGCTGGGCAGCGGGTTGGTGATCGAGCCCAGGCGAGGACAATGGCGATGGTGATGATGCCACAGCGGCCACACCGGCTGCCGCCTTAGATGTGCTTACCTGCGCCACGCCGCGAGCTTGGGGTGTTGTCGCAGGTGAAGGCGAGGCCGACTGCAACGGTGTAGCGACCGCGGCCGTGCTGCCGCCGCCGCCGCCGCCGCTGCGACGCTGCGGCGACGCGTCCCGCGTCCTGCTGACACTGTTCGACCCCGACGGCCGTCCCGCTGCAGGCATGGCTGCCACGTTCCGCGGTGCGGCCGCAGCCGGCGGCCTGCCCCCGCCTAGGCCCCCCCTACCCCCCGACCCAGCCCTGGCCCCCGCTCCGCCACGGCCACCAGACGGCGGTCGGGAGCCGCCGGATGTCCCGGAACCTACTGGGGACGGACTATCCGCTGACGTGTTTGGCACTACCCGACTGGACGGTCCGCTCTGGTCACCAGACGCTGCGGGCGGGGTGGCTGGAGGCACTGGCGGCGCCGGGCTCCGAAACCCAGGTGCTGTTGAAGCGCCGGGCGTGGCGCTATTTGCAAGCGCCACGGAAGAGCCTTCATGCTGTGCATGTATGTGGGGGAGCGGGAGGGCGGTTAGTCGCGGAGAGAGGTTGCCCAGCGTTGCAAGAATCTGAAGCAGCTTCACCATTAAGCAGTATTAACTATTACCATTCGTCATCTGGAGCCCACTGTAACCACCGCACGCTCGTAGACCCCGGGCCCTGCACGCCTTTTCCTCCCTTACAGGCTTCTTGAGGCGTTTTTTTGCCGTTTTCGCCTCTGGTGACATCCGTCTGCGTCACCATGCGTCAGCAACAGCCATGCAGTCTGGATCCAAAACTGGATCTGAATCCACGCACCTGGCTGAGCGACGGCCGCCGCCCTGGCGGTGTTGGCCCCGGGGAGGCTGCATCACATGACACCATAGCACCACACACAGGAGGAGAAGTTATTATGGTTCATCAGCGGTTGAGAGCCCAAAAAGGCGAAATACACCGCACCGCCGCCAGGCGCCCTAGCGCACGAGTAACAGTAAGAGTGAGAGAGAACCCTAAGTGCAGGTAGGACCTGCTAGGTGTTGTGTGCGGAAGGCCGGGACGGCTTGGGGTTTACTTGCCCTATGTATGTGCTAACCCTTTCAGCACCCACCCACCCACCCACCCACCCTGGATGTCACCACCAACACCACGTCGGGGGCAACTAATCCTCCCTTCCTTCCTTCCTTCTTTCCTTCCTTCCCCGCGTATTATTGTGATTCTTGTGATTCCGGCCCCCAGCGGCCCCCATCGCAGAGCTCTCTCTCTCACCTCCTCCTCCGCTCCGCGTCCGCCAGGGAGCTGGTGGCGGCTCGCCCTCCAGCCTGTTTTAGGAAAGAAAGCACATGCGTGGCCAGACATGACCCATGGGTCAATAGCAGAACATGCCACGTGTCATTTGGACCGCTTGGGAGCGGCGCTGCGTGCATGTGGATGAATCATGTACATACAGACACACCGACACGCCGGCCAACGACAGGGCCGGTAGCGGCCCTCGGCGAGAGCATCAGGTCCATGGGCTACTTGATCACCTCACCGCAAGGCAAGCAGGAAGTGAAGTGAAGCGCCGCTACCGGACATACATATACGGGTGGTTGGCGGTAGCTACTACTGGTTTTATGGGGGGGAGGGAACCCATCATCATCAATGCAAGGGAGGAAACCAGAAACCAGAAATGAACTCGATATGAAATGATTTTACGGGGGAAATGCGGGACGCGTGTAAGGTCCAAACCCATATTTCACAGGATAAGCTGCTCTCCGCGAGCCCCCCATCCGGGAGCGCAATGCCAAGTACTGGGACCTGGCATTATGCCTCGGGAAGGCGGGTGGGCAGCTAATCCTGTGGCCTATGGACTCCCGTATGTATGTATGTGCCGCATGTGCCCCCCGGTAGGTAGCTGCTCTCGGGGGTCGTGACAGCCCGGGGGGCCCCGCATTTGACCCCAGGGAGGTTGCATGGACTAGGGTACTGGAGGTGGCACCCGAGAGCTGATGAGTCACACGGCTCAGCTAGCCAGAGAGCTGCAACTGAACTGCGGGTGCAGTGTTGTTTTTGTTGTATCCGTTGTGGTGCGCTTTATGTGTGTCTGTGTGTGTATTTGAGTGTATGTGCGTAATTGTTACATGTCTTACTGGCCTTCTTTGTGTGTGTGTGTGCGTGTGTCTGTGTGTGCGTGTCTATGTGTTATGGGTGCCGCATCGCGTCTGCTGCCAATACGTCACGTTAAATGATGAACGCGGCCTCACCGGTGGTGGAGGAATGCACAGCAGCGCCGGAGATCCGCCACCACGGCCTGCGTAGCCGCCGTATGGCCCGATAGCTCCACATAAGCCTGGGGTGGGGTGGAGTGGGACCAATCGTTTGTCGTGTGCAATGTGGACGTGCGGCCTGAAGAGCACTGAACAGATGCGGCCACCTGTACCGCGGTACCAGCAGTTTCTATAGCTCTTATAGGTTTTCAGCTCAGGTGCGCTACACGTGACATAGCACCGCACGGAGATATATGCTATAATGGTCCCTGGGTCGGTTCCGTTGCGCTGCAGGGCTGTGCAGAGCCATGAAAAGACAAAGCCCGGTTCTGTGAAGGACAGCTGGTACAAAAGCCGCCATGGAACTGGCGGTAAGGTTCCAATCATAGCCCGCTTTTGCTGCTTTAGGTTTTCACCCGTAAGGGAAACGCTTCAGGAACATACCTCGCCCACATTCACTATAAGCCTGTTCAGAGCATCAATCAGTTCTCGAGGTTGTGCACATTCGAGGGATTCCCTTCCTGACGGCATGCTGTGCTCGTGCTGTGCTCTACTTTATACCCCCTACCGTTATAGTTCATTTGTGCCTACCGACATCTATGTCCCTGTAATGTCGCATCAGGTTTGCAATTAGACAGGACATAGCTTAGACGCAAGTGCCCATATATGCTCAGCACCCCGCAGTAACAAAGCACGCGAGGTCTTAAACTAAGTGAAATAGTGTAACATCTTTGGAGTAATAACAACCAGCGCACTAAATCCTGCATAGGTGAAACGGGACGGTATGCACGTACTACAAATTTGCAAATCATTGACGAGTAATGAAAGAGCTTGCGATTGCAAATCCAACTTGGTATTGCTCGCAGTTGTCAGTAGAGGAATCTATTTCATAATATAGCGACGTGTGTGGCACTATGAGTATGTAGACTGTTGTCGTTACGAATTATGGTCCTGCCAGAAGCTGAACATGCTTCTTGTAGAAACTGCAAAAACTCTTCCTAGGTATCGTATCAATGCCCAGAGGGGTGAAGGGGAGGAAGAAGGCGGCAGGCGTGGGAGCGGGAGAGGCAGCAGACTTGCTAAATGCCATCCACCAGCATGGGCTTGAAGAGCAGGAAATTCTGCGTGTACTTCAGGTGGAGCAGGCGCCATGTGATCATGCCAGAAGCCCCTGCCGTGTCAGCCGGAAGGATAATGTGACATGCTTCTGCCAGCTGGTGCCAGCGGGGACCTCCTTTCGAAAGAAAGGCCTCTGGCAAAAGGAGCAAGCACATCTGGGTACCTTGGGACGAGATCCTGTGGAAGAAAAGCGGGAGGTAAAGTAACGCCGAGCGATCCATCCACGGCGTGCGCAACCCGGAGAATGTTATTTCTTCCGGCAACGGCCTAGCATAAAGTGCTTAATGACTATTGCGAGCATCGTTCAGCATTGAAACCCACTCCTCAAGCTCTTTACCAGCGTGTCCTAGGGGAAGGGGGGGTGTCGGGGAAAGGGCAGAAGAACGATAACAGCCACTAAAAGACTCGTCCGATGATTAGCACAACTGGAAGAGGCCACACTTATTGTGCAGCGCGTGCGCACGAGGTTAAGGAAACCACTGCCTAATCCAATAAACCAGTACTACATCCTCACGCTACGCGCAAGTACCATGCAATGCATGTGCGCTCCGCCGCGACCCACATGCGCATGCCACGAATCTGCGCGTCTTACACCTTCCATCGCACAAACATGCGTCCACAATCACACCACTTACGCGCCGTAGGACCCCAGGAAGCCAACTGGCTTACGCAACTTGGGCAATACCTGCTACGCGAACGCAGCGCTCCAGTGCCTTTTCTCCATCCCCAGCCTCCGCAACGGCATCTTCAATGCCGAGCCCAAGGTTGCGGCGCACGACATCTTCCGCCAGCTGCAGTCTCTCTTCCTGCAAATGCAGTTTGGGCCCCGCAGCAGTGTGGACACAGAGGCTTTGGCAAAGACGCTGGGCCTCAACCATGCGATCCAGCAGGTCTGTATCTGTAGGCCCTTCCCTCCCCTAGCATGAGGCCCACCCGAGGTTGCAGTTACGCGTGTTCTTGGGGTTCTTGACCTTTGGGCTGCTCTGTGGGCTGCTCTGTGGGGTGCTTGCACTAGAGGTTCGAGACATGGATGCTACATGACGCCTGGTTGCACACACGCACACACACACACACACAGACAGACAGACAGACAGACAGACAGACAGACGGGGCCGGTCCCATGGCCTTACGGCGGCGCTGTATTTTGGTGTGGGATTCATCTTTCCCTAAGAAACACACACACACACACACATACACACCGCGTCCGCAGGATGGCCAAGAGTTTCTAAAGCTGCTGCTGACCCGCGTGGAGCAGATGCTCAGCAAGTCGAGCGACCAGGTCAGGAGGTCAGGGGCGGGGCGGGGAGGTCAAGGGGGGGGGGCTCAGCAGCCAGAGGTCTCAGTAGAGGGGCTTTCAGTAGCCCCTACTACCTACCTACCTAGGTAGCTGCATGTATGCGTGTATATATTCATGTATGCATGTATGTATGCATGTGTATATTCATGTATGCATGTATGTATGCATGTGTATATTCATGTATGCATGTGTATATTCATGTATGCATGTATGTATGTATGTTTACATGGGAGCTCCCTTGTAATCATGTTGTAATCCATTCATCCTATTTTGTCCCCACCTGGTTTCTTTACTGCAGGCTTCCCGGTGTCTGGTGCAGCGGCTCTTTCGGGGAGGGTTGTCCTACGTCACCACATGTCAGGTAGGTGGGGGGAAGTGCGGTTTCTGGAGATGGTGCTACGGGTGCGGGTGCGGGTGTTTTACGTTACGATGCTAGTTACCATTCCTACTCCGGGCTCATGGGAACAGCTTGCAGGATCAGCTTGGCGACTTGGCTTCCGTATTGGTGGCTGCAGTGTGCGATTTCCCCAGGTGCTTGGGATGCATGCACATCTGCTTGCGTGTAGTGCTGTAGTTGCCGTCGGCTCCCTCCCAGTCGATCGGATACTGAGGCGGTTCGGGGCGTGTTCGGCCGGGGCCTCGCCCGAAAAGCTGTTTTCAAAAGGTCCAAGCAGTGTTCTTCATGCTTCACTTGCTTACCAGCGTGTCTTCAGGATCGGTTCCTTGCTTCGATATCGATAACCTTTCCCTTGTTGTTCCGCCTGTGTTGTGTTGTGCTGTGTTGCTGCCTGTTGTGCTTTTACTGCCTTTACTGCTTCAGCGCTGCGGCCGTGACTCTGCCAGCTCGCGGGAGGTGCAGGACTTCTACGACCTGATGCCGCAAGTGCGGGGCTTCGCGTCTCTTACGGAGAGCCTGGTGCGTGTGCGGGGGGCGGGGGCCCCGGGGGGCCTTGTGCAGGCAGCACTACCCTGGTGCGTGTGCGTGTGCGGGGGGCGGGGGGCGGGGGGCCCGGGGACCTTATCTGTGGACTCGGGGGGTCCCTCTTGTCTGCATGGCACGGTGCCATGGGGGGGGGGCGGGGGGGCCTTGAGCAGGCAGCACTACCCGGAACCCGACCTGTGTGACGTCCAACCCCGCTCTTCATTACGCTGCGTAGTTTTAGTACTAATTTTACTGGAACGCCTACTGGTCAGTTCTGCTTCTTGTACACTCTTTCCTTGGCAGCAGCTTCACTCTTTTGTGGTTCGTCTTCCGCGCCTCAACCCCCTCCCCCCCCGCGCGAGCATGTCAGTCCTAGTTTAATGGCTCTTCCTGGCCCCATCTCCCCCCGCCCCATGCGCGCGCAGGCCGCAATCCTGCATGCGGAGTCCTTGACGGGCGACAACCGCTACCGCTGCGAGTTCTGTTCCGACAAGGTGGACGCGCTGCGGCACGTGCGGCTTCGGAGCCTGCCGCCGTACCTGTGCCTGGCGCTGCAGCGCTTCTACTTTGACCCGCGAGTAAGCCACACCATCTCCCTCTGCGATATACGTCAACAGCTGGTGATTGGTGGTGCATAGACTGATAGGCCCTTTGACTCAATAATGGCTGTCGATTGGCGTGTCGCGCCATCCATCCATCCATCCATCCATCCATCCATCCATCCACCCATCCATCCATCCATCCATCCATCCATCCATCCATCCATCCATCCACACACCCACCCTCGCAGCTCCGCCATATCGGGGGCAATCGGCAGTTCGGCGCTAGTCAGGGTGGCATCATACAGCACACACGTGCGCACACCGTACTGCACGCCCAGTCCAGTCCCGGCCCCGATCTGGGTCAGGGCCCATCCAACCCAGGTCCGACCTGAAACCAAGTCCGGGCAGGCCCCTGATTACATAGGGCGAAACACGTACATACATACGTACATACATACGTACATACATACATACATACATACATACGTACATACATACATACATACATACATACATACATACATACATACATACATACATACATACATACATACATACATACATACATACAGCATGTGGAAGTGGCCAAAGTTACGCAAGGGCAAGTGGGAGAGCCCCTGCTCATCCCCCTGCCCTCCCCCTGCCATTGCGCCATCGTGTCTCCCACTCCCCCGGCGGCTTCCTCCCTCCTGTCGAGCAGACTGCTGACAAGGCCAAGGCACTGGACAAGTTCGGCTTCCCTCTGCAGCTAGATTTCCGGCAAGTGCTGGCGGCAGCGGCAACGGGCAACTCGGAGGGGTCTCCCGCCGCCGCGGGCAACCCCGCCGCTGCCGCTGCTGCCACGGCGGCGGCGGCGCTTGAGGTGCCGCAGTACGCCGCCGGCACCCCGTTGTACGAGCTGGTCGGCATCCTGATCCACAAGGGCTCCCAGGCCAGCAGCGGGCATTACGGTGGGTGTGGTGGATGAGGGGGATGGTATGAATGCTGGGCCCTGAAAAGGACGAGCTTGCGCGGGATGGTGGGTCACTCGAGGAAGGGTCAGCAGCACGCGTTTTTATGTAAATTGCACATTAAGTTGCCGCGACAGCTCGGGTAGAGAATATATATTTCTCTAAGTAGTAGATAAACTCGGGGGCGCAGGTGCATGCACACCCCGCCATGGGTTCCCTCAGAACGCCCCCTCGGCAGTTGTCTTCGTCGGCTTTTTGCATTCATTGCGTGATCTTCCCAGCTGTTTAAATTGTTGTGCTGTAAAAATATGCAAGCAAACAAACAAACAAACAAACATTTCAAAAAAAAACACCTCGTCATGTCGTCAAATATGTAATCTCCGCAGTCGCGCACATTAAGGACCAGGTGACGGGCCAGTGGTGGCGATTCGACGACGACAGCGCCGACTGCATAGGCTACAACCCCACAGCCGCATTCCAGGCGGATCACGGAACCGGGGCCGCCGGGGCCGCATCTGCGGCTGCTGCAGGATCGGACGCCGGCGGAAAGGTAACTGCAGGTAAGGCCAGCATGCATTCTCAACGTCGAACGAAAATCACTGCCGCCGTACGTCCTCGCGACTCGCGATTGGTGATCTCAGCAGCAGCTGAAAATCCACGCACACGCGTTGTCTTCAGCTCCCGCGAGCGGCTAATCCTAGATTTTCGGGATGTGTTTTTTTGGGGCCCGGTATAACTTTCCAAATGAGTACCGCAGGCGCCTCTCGCAAGCGTTCTGCGGTTGGAGACCCCCGGGAGGATCCCGACTACGACCAAGACAGGGAGCTGCGCGAGCAGCAGCAGCACCCCTACGGCGACGGTGATGGTGACGGTGATGGTGATGGTGAGTCCGGGCCCCAGGGGGCGAAAGGGGGCCGGGGCAGGAAGGCGACGGCCGCCGCGCGGGCGGGTCGGTCCCGAGGGACCCGTGGTGCGAAGCGTGCAGCTGGTCCCGGCCGGGGCCGCGGCCGCGGCCGCGGGCGGGCTGCCGCCACCGCCACCGCCACCATGGATGACTCCGACAGCAGCGAAGGCGAGATGGCGCGTGCCATGGCGGCTTCGCTGGCGATGCAAAACGGAAGCGCCATGGACGGCTCCGCAACAGCGGCGAATGACGAGGAAGAGAATGTACGGCGTGCGCTGGCGGCCAGCTTGAAGGAGGCCCGCACGGGCAGTGCTGGTGCTGCTGGTGATGGTGGTGATGTGATGGTGGTGCTGGCGGAGAGCGTACGGCTTCAGGCTGTAGCCGCTGTCCCCAGCAGCCCCGCATGTGATGGAGTCCGCGCAAAACCTACCGATTTGGTAAGGGTGTGGGTAAGGGTGCGCGATGGGCCCATAAAATCTCTTGCATGTGTGCACCACTGGCATTAGGCCGTCACATGGCGGTTACGTTGCCGAGTACGCAGTGTGCAGTGTGCAGTGTGCAGGGCTGGCCGCAGCACCCCCGAGCCACGGGGGTGTGCCAATCTGCGGGGCGGCGGGAGGGCGGGAGTGGCTGTTGCTGACTCTTGTCTCCTCTGCTGTTGTTTCCTGACTTGCGTGTCAAAGAAGCCTTACGTGGACGAACACACATACACACACCCGCATACACACGCAACACACACACACACACACACAACACACGTGTCTGATGGAACGCGCGTCAGGCGCTGCCGTGCACGTTGCCGTGATAGGCTGCCCTCTGCTGCTTTTCCGCCCCCTCCCCCCCCCCCGAGGCGGCTGGAAGGCCTGCCCCATCCACACACTGGGCCCCTTACCCCCCTCTTACCCCCCTCTCAACCCCCGCTTAACCGTGATAACTACGTTGCGTTGCCCCTCTCAGGGCCCCGGTCGCATGAGTATGTCTCCATCTCCTGCAGCAGGAGGACAAGCAGCAGCAGCAGCAGCAGGTATCGCGGTTGGTGGAGAGGTGTTCGGGACGGCGGTGCACCTCGGTGCTCAGGCGCTATGGGCCGCCATGGACGGCGGCGAGGGGGCCCCCCCCGGCGGCAAGGGGTTCCCCGCCGCAGCTGCCGGACTGACAGCCGACGGCTGCTCAGAGGGCGGCGGCCCGGCGGCCCAGCACCCGGTAAGGGTCTGTGCGGTAGGAGGGCGCAGCTAATCAGCTAACAATCAATGCCACACATCGCGGGGTACATGCAACGGTGCAAAAGTGGTGCACAAGGCGTGAATGGACACCCCGCTGAAAAGTGCGGTGAAAAGTAGTGTAGGGGGAGTATGTGTTGTTTTGGGGGGAGGGAAAAGAGTCTTCGAGGGCTTCGTTGCACTACCTTGCGTCGCAAAGCCGTAGTTTTAACTTTGTTATAAGTCCATCCCAGCCCATTCCAGCCCTGTTGGCCGTATGGTGCGGTGGCCATCGCGTGCTCAGAGCCATCAGAGCTCTTTAGAAGGGGGAGCTGCGACCGGGCCCTCCTCCTCTCCGCACCCCGATCCTAATTCTCGATACTTCCCTCGCTTCCCTCGCTTCCCTCGCTGAACGCCCTCAGACGGGACCTGGCCAGGTGGTGGTGTCCGCCAATGCCTACATGCTGGTGTACCGGGCGGTGGACTTGGTCGAGCCGGCCGTGGTTTCGGAGACGTCCGCGCTGCCGGAGGACCTGCGGCGCACCGTGGCCGCCACGGCTGCGGAGTTTGCGGAGCGGTGCGAGGCGTACCAGCGGCAGCGGCAGGCGCTCAAGGAACAGGTCGGTGCTGGCGGTGTTAGTGCTGGTGTTGGTGTTGGTGCTGGTGCTGGTGCTGGCGGTGTTAGTGTTGGTGTTGGTGGTGCTAGGTGTTGGTGTTGGTGGTGCTAGGTGTTGGTGTTGGTGGTGCTAGGTGTTGGTGTTGTTGGTGTTGTTGGTGCTAGGTGCTGGGTGGTTGCTGGCGGTGGGCAATTCTCATGAGGGGATGAGGTGGGACGAGCAGTATCACGATGATGTGGGCGATGATGATAATCTGGGCAGTTTTTAGTTAGTGTCCGGATACAAGGCCACCTTCCTCTGCCGGCTGTCGGTCACATCATGGATTCTTATTTATTATTTCTGGTATTTTGGGAGTAAACGCATTCAAACTTTTCTCAAGACACCGCTTCTTGCGCTGCAAAGGTGGAGGCGCGCCAGAGTGGCGTGCGGGAGATCATGGCCATCATCGTGCCCCCCCGGCTTAGCCCCGGCAAACAGCAACAGCAGCAGCAGCAACAGCAGCAGCAGCAGCAGCAGAGCTTGCCGAAGCAGGAGTCACCGAAGCAGGAGCCTATTGACCTGACGAGCGGCGCCGGCGGCACGGCGCCAGGGACGATAACCACGGGCGAGCCGTACGCCAACGGCGATGCCGCGGCGTGCACTGCCGCCGCGGCCGCTACCGCAGTGCTCCCTGAGCAGGGTACCCTGGGTTACTGGGTGCCCTCCGCGTGGCTGGAGCAATGGGCAAATGACGAGGGCTCTCCGTCGCCGATTGACAACAGCGCCATTATGTGCACCAACAGCAGCCATGGTGGCGCAGCAGCAGCAACAGCGGCGGCGGCGGCGGCGGCGGCGGGGTCAGCAGAAGCAATGTCAAGCGGCGGCGGCGGCGGCGGGGCTGGCGAGGCGACGACGCGGCGCAGCGCGCGGTTGGATCCTAAGAAGGTGGCGGCGGCCAAACTGGTGTCACCAGCGGCGTGGAAACGGCTGCTGGTGAGGTGGGAAGGCCTTGCTATGACCGTAGTAGCTTCACACTAGGGGCAGTCTCGTTGGTTTGGGCTTGTTTCTGTGTGTGTGTGTGTATGTGTGTGTGTGTGTTTTCGAGCGTGCACACTTCCACGCCCTGGCTCAGTGCCAGCTCCAGTCTGGAAGCTTCCGGAAAGCGAGGGGAGGGAAAGGGTAAGGAAAAGGAGGGCCCGCGGGCCAGTGGGTGGTTGCATTCCCTGGGCATGTGCACTCGTCCTTATGTCCTCTTGAGATGTACGTCCTTAGTTACGTCCTTAGTTGTCGAGAGTGTACACTCTTCCGCTCACAACCCTTCCCGGCGGGATTAGAGGGTCCAAACTTTGTTGCGTCACGCTGGGGCGGTGACCCGACCCCCTCTTCGCAGCCCGCCATGCAGTTTTGTTCCCTGCTATCGCCGTGAGTTCTCCGCTCCGCTCCTCTCCTTCCTCCCCGTTCCCCAGGCAGCGCACGGCGGGGGCCCTCCACTGGCGGCCGGTGACGTGTGCCGCGAGTGCCTGGCCAACAACTTCAACGCCACTCTGTTGGGCAGCCAGGCCAACAAAGTACGGTCCCGTGTGGCCGCCATCTTGGAAGAGGCGGCGGCGGCGGCGGCGGCGGGGGGGGGGGAAGAGGCTGTGGACGATGAGGTGGAGTGCATGGGCGAGAAAGAGGCTGGTGGAGGGTCGTTCGCGGCGACGGCAGCGGCCGGTCGTCGATTCTGGGTGTCGAAGATGTGGCTGCAAGGTGGGAGGGAAGAGAGGACGGCGAGGCCGAAGGAGAGGCCGAAGGGGAGAGGACGGAAGTATCTCACCAGTTCACGTCGGCGCCGGGGCTCTGCTCAAAAGCAGCTCCTGAAACTTTGCGCGGATTTCTCTGCGCTGTGATGCGTCGTGTCGTGCTGCAATTTGCTTGCTTTACACACCGCAATCCTCTTCTCGAAGTGCTGCATTGCGGCTTTACTATACATCGCTGTGTGCCCCATTCAGCGGTGCCCCACCCCACTGCACTCCAGTAATACTTCGCAGTAATCGCGCGCGGTATGTGCGGCCCGGCAGGGTGGTCCAAGCGCCAGGGCGCCTCCGTCAAGGCCGAGAAGTCGCCCACCGCGGACCTAGCGTGTCCCCACGGCCAGCTGCTGCCCGCCGCCATCGTCAAGTCGGCTCGCCGCGTCGCTGTGCCCGGAGATGTCTGGTGCTTCCTACGGGACTTGTGGCGTCAGCAGCGGGTGCGAGAGGCGCAGGAGGCGGCGGAGGCCCGCACCTCGGCCGCTGCCAAAACCGGCCGCCGGGCGGCAAGCTGCGGCGGCGGCGGTGGCGGCAGCAGCGCGGCGCCAGAAGCCGCGGACTGCCTGGACCTGACGGGCGATGATCTGGGGCCTGGTGCTGGCGGCGACGCCGCCGTCGCTGCCGGGAAGCCGGTGGCCAGCAGCAACGGCAATGGCGACAGCGACGATGACGGCAGCGTGGTGGAGGTCATGGAGCGGTCGGCGGGGGGTGGCCGGGGGGATGAGGCAGAGGATGCGCCGGAAGCTGCCGCCGGCGCTGTCCCCACCGTGCAGGAGCTCGACGCTCTGTGCCCCGAGCTACAGGTCGGCCGGGTACACGAGTGTCTCATGTGCCGTACTGCGGCGGGGCAGGCGGCGGAGGCTCACGCGGACACTCGGCGACAGGTGGATGCGGAGAGGGCGGCGCTTGGGGGCTTGGCTGGGGAGGTGGTGCCCACTCTGGAGCCTGGCGGGCGGTATTACTTGGTGCCCAGGTGAGGGGCCAACGACCAGCGGCCAACCCAGAGAGGGGGGGGAAAGAGTGTCTTCTCATTGCCAGCGTGCCGGGTAATTGTCGTGCCAGGTCATTTTCCCCCGTTTCGACGTCGTTCTCTACTTGCAATCTCGTCTCTCGGCATCCCATGCTGCTTTCCACGTCAGGGGTTGCTGTTGCTGTTGCTGTCTGCCGAAGGGGTTGCTGTCCAACCGGTCTGGATGCCGCAACCGATCTCACCGCGGCGTTTCACCGTAAGGGCACACCTAGGGCGGTGGCGAAATGTGGTCTAGACGCCGAGCCGATGTTGCGCTCGTGCTTTCGGTCCTCCTTGCCGAGGCGTTCACCGACCGGTTCACCTACCAGGTTACCTACCGGTTCCCCTACCTAGGGCTCTACCCCTAGCGTCTGCCCGGGGCACGTTCCCCACAGCCGCATGGGCAGCCCCCTATCCGCCCCCTAGCCCCTTACTGTCCATCGCCTAGCGCCACTCTACCGCCCTTCCCTCCCCCTAATGCGTTATTACTGCATGCACCAACACCACTGCCCACCAGCGGCTGGGTTCGCGAATGGCAGCAGTTCGTGAGGCCGCTGTCGCGCCGCGCCGCACCGTCGAGCGGGCCTGGCGGCGGCGGCGGTGGTGGTGGCGGTGGCGGCGGTCCAGCAGCAACCGTTGGCGCAGGGATTGGAGGAAGTGGTACTCCAGGGGGGCCGGGATCGGCGGCGGCGGCGGCTGCTGCCCCAGCTGCTGCTGTCCGCCCTGGGCCGGTGTCCGAGGCCATGATGCGAGTGATGTGCCCCTGCCATCCTGGAGAGGCACGTCTCGGGGTGCCGACTCCGCGTCTGTCACTTAAAAGAAATAAGTAGGTTGGAGGTTGCTGCGGGTGCTACAGGAACTGGAGCTGCCTTTTGCCTTGCCTTGCCTTCTCATGACCGTTTGCAACGCTAGGAGCTCCTATGCGTTCCCATCACTGCAGGTTCCCACCACTCAACCCGTCTGGATGCGTGCGGTGTGGTGCGGTGTGGTGCGGTGCGGTGGCTCTTTCTCCCCTATCGTGCCTGAACAGGCTATGCCAGCAGGAGCCTGAACAGGACGCTTTACGAGTTATCCAGTCGGACGACTGGCGGCAGCTCTGCAGACTGTACGGCGCTACGGACGCCACGATCTGGCGGTCCCGGCCTGCAGGCCCGGCTGCCGTGGTGGCGGACGATGATGGCATCCGCAGCCGTACACCGCTGCGGAAGGGTGTCCCCGGCGCAAATGGCGTCAACGCCGTCGGCCACGGCCACGATCGCATCAACCTGGTTGATGGCGACGTCGACGATAAGGGCGCTTTTGGCGTCCAGGGCGGCGGTGACGGCGATGACGACGCCGTCATGGTCGCTGTTGGAAGTCCAAGAAGCACTGCCGGCGGAGCCGTCACTGCTAAGGCTGATGCCGTCGACGCCGTCGACGGCTCGGTGCGCTTGGCCGCCGTACACCACGGCTTTACCGCGGAGGTGGTCCTGCTCCCGCCGTCGGCAGCGGCAGTCGATGTCGGCGATGCCGATTCCGTCGACCTTTCGCCGCCAGCGTCGGTGCAGCGCGATCGCAACGCGCAAAGAGATCAGCCCTGTCTGGTTCCGGAGCTGCGCGTTTGGCCGCCCGTGTGTCCGCAGGCGCTAGCGGAACACAACCGTGCGGCACGGGAGGCCCTGTTGTCGTACCAGGAGGCCGAAATTATGGTCGAGCTGGTTCCGGCGGATGAGCTTGAAGGAGCGTTCCGGGCCACCATCCAAGGTGAGGCGTGGAGTGGGGGGGTAGGGGCATGGAGGGGAGGGGAGGGGAGGGGCGGGGAGTGGGGGGGTAGGGGCATGGAGGGGAGGGGTGGGGAGGGGCGGGGAGTAGCGGGGAGGGGAGGGGAGGGGAGGGGCATGGAGGGGAGGGGAGGGAGGGAAAGGCGATGGGAATAGGTGGGTTGGCTCAGGAATTGAGAACGATGTATTCTGTCACTCTGCGGACGCACACAGACACGGAGCAGTATGTGTCGGGACTTGGAGAGTAGTTACAGGGCTTTCCAAAGCTAATGCGACAGCAAATACGGCCGCTGATATGGCTATTGCCATCAGTGGTGGCAGTGTGTGCGACTGGATTAATGCCAGGGCACACTTTAAGCACTCGTTTCGTATTGTATCGTATCGTATCGCCAAGCATGATCTAAATCCCAGTAGCTATGTATGCGCTGTCCTGCCTAGTCGACATTTAGCCGGGACTGGTCCCCTGCGGCCCTTCTTTCTGGGGCCCTTCTGGGGAATCCTGTTGTCTGTCTGTGAGGTGTTCGTTCATGGATGTTGCCGCTACTGCCGTTACTCTCAATGCTGCTGCTGCCGCTTCTGCCACTACTGCTGCTGATGCTGCTGCCGCCGCTGCTGCCCCTGCCCCTGCCCCTGTGGCTGCTGCCTCTACTTCTACTCTCCTGCTACTGCTACCCTCCTGCTATTGCTGCTCCTCTTACTGCTGCTGCCGATGTCGCCGGTGATTGGTTTTAACTTTTCTCCGGCTGCTCAGCTCCCGAGCGCAAGTCCCGGAGGAGCCGCAAGGGGCGCCTGGCACTGACGGTCAGCAACACCACTACGTTACAGCAGCTGAGGTTGCGGGTGTTCGAGCAGCTGTCCATACACCCGCGCAACCAGTCGGTGAGTCGGCTCCTAGCACTACCTGCTGCCACTGCTGCTGCTGCTGCTTCCTGTCGGGTTCTGGGCTTGTGCGCGCACAGCGGCTTGTGTCTCATCTTGCGGTTCCATCGATGTTTCTTGGGGAAACATCAGTTAAGTCAGGACGAGTTTTTAGTCAGGGGGCATGAAACATCCATGTGTGTTTTGTATGTGTCTTGCGTCTTTAGTAGAGTAGGATGAATTTTACATTGCAAGGCCAAGTAAGCAAGGCAAGCAAGGCAACGAAATTTACGAAAGTGGGCGCTTATTGTATTTTACTGGTGGGTGGGTGGGTGGTATCTCTCGCCTGTGCCGTGCCTACTGATGGTGACGGCACCCATTCAACGTTCTTTCCTCGGGTGGCTTGTATGTATGTATGGCAGCTGTACGTGCGCGGCGAGGGGGGCTGTCCACGTCTGCTGGAGGGCGACGACCTGAGTCTAGCCCAGCACGAGGTACTCCCCGGAGAGGAGGTACGGGTGGTGCGGCGCAATGTGGTGCATGACGATGACGACGACGACGATGTGGTGAAGCTGCTGGGGGAGGTGGATGGTGGTGAGTGGGGGCAAAAAACGGGGGTCAAGTACCGATCGTGTGGGGTATGTGGGCGTTACCTGCCGTTGGAACCCCAGCCCACCTGCACGGGGTCCTCGTGCGATGGGAGGTATTGTGGTGGGCGTTACGGGAGTTACGGGCATTAAATTAAAATATGGACTGGGAGTTGAGCCCGCCATCTTTCCTGGTGCGTGACCCGCCGTTGCAAGACCAGATCCGCGAGTAACAACAAAGTTCCCACATAGCTCACATCTGTCCGTGTCAGCCACCTCCGTTCCAGGCTAACCTAGCACACGCCGTGCAGGGAATCCACACACACACATGGCGGTGTCTCTTTCAGTCTTAGGCCTGACCGCTCAACGCGTCCCGCACAGAGGCTCCTGCCGTACTTAGGGTGCCCTCCTAGCCATTAGGTCACCACCTACTACCTCGTCGGAGCAGATCCTCCCAGCGGCCCTATACCGAAGCTAGAAAGTCTTCTCAGTTAACTCATAGGGCATGTAGCACCCATGTACCCCACCCCACCTCACCTCACCTCACCTCACCCCACCTCCCCTCATCTCACCCCACCTCACCTCACCTCACCCCACCTCACCTCACCTCACCTCACCCCACCTCACCCCACCTCACCTCACCTCACCTCACCTCACCTCACCTCACCTCACCTCACCTCACCTCACCTCACCTCACCTCACCTCACCTCACCTCACCTCACCTCACCTCACCTCACCTCACCTCACCTCACCTCACCTCACCTCACCTCACCTCACCTCACCTCACCTCACCTCACCTCACCTCACCTCACCTCTCGCTGCCACATCGCAATCCTTCGGTTCCATTCAGCCGAGGGACACGTCTGTACACGGGTTCATGCCCGGCTCCTCACTGACTGCATTCCTCTCCGATTTAACCATCCACCGAACCATCCACCGAACCATCCACCGAACCATCCACCGAACCGTACACAATCGATCCGTTTCACCCCCGTCACCTTCGCCCCAACGGCCTCCATGCCGACAGCCCCTTCCCCATGCGGCTGTTCTGCCCGCAGGCCCCAGTGGCAAGAAGCGTCAAGTGGAGGAGGGCTTCAAGAACACCGCCTTGCACGGCGACCTGCCGCCGCACCAGCACCAGCACCAGCACCCGCACCAAGAGCAGCAGCACGGAGGTGGTGCGGCCGGGACGCGCGGGGGCGTGGTGCACGAGTGCATCTCGGGGCTTCTGTCCGATGGGGTGCTGTCTGATGGGTAGAGGCAAGTGCGCAGAGGTTCGGTGCATCTCTAGGCGAGCTAGCCAGTCCGGAAGGTATCTTGATGTGTCTAGGATATTGAAAGGCGGTGGTGGGATGCTGCTGGTTGCAGGCGGTGCGAGTGTCGACTTAGACAATAGTTGGCTGGTCGTCTGCGAGCATTTAGCCAGGCGGTGCGACGGATAAGGAACTCTTGTAAAACGAGTCCCTGCCTAGTTAGCAGCAGATATCGAACCATCGGCCTTGAGATTGGCGGCGGCGGGCTAGCTGCATTGTGCCAGGCTGCAGAGGGGAGAGTGTGCACCTGCAAGGACGCAGATATGGTGAAACGTTTGGATTTTTACTTCAAAAATACTCTGCATTACAGTTGGTAGTGGTGGTGGTGCCGGGCATGGAGATGGAAAAGTGGGCGCGCTGGGCCCTTGTGTACAACGCAAATGGTTTCACCGACGTGGGAGGGGGGGGGAAGAGATTGATTGGTAACAGCATTGGAACCCATGGGCGCGTGCAGTGCTCTCCTTCAGTCGACCGGAAGGAGAGCTCCTGTCCTCGTGCGATTCATTGCCTCTTTCGATGATGGCCCGCGTTCGATGACGGCCATCAGCAGCTAATACTAGTGGCGGGTTACGTCCCAGACCTGCTTTCCACTGGTTGGGGTTCCCCGGCCTCTACAGGGCCACAAACACACGCGGCCGCGACACGAACACAAACCCAAGGACACAGGGTGGGAGGGGAGGGGAGGGCAGGGGAGGGGAAAGGCACGTTGTTTGGGCAAGCTAGGCTGGTTTTTTTGTTGGGATTTTTTTAGACACTGCAATTTGTAGCAGCGCAGCGCTACAGCAGCAGCAGCAGCACAGCGCTACGTATTACAGCCGATCAGGCAGGGAGTCGGTCAGGCAGGCGAGCAGGCAGACTGTCTTTCGCTTCCGACATCGAAGGACAGCGGGACTTTTGCATCTCGAAGTACTTATATATAAAGCTCAACCAACGCAAAAACATTTTTTGGCATGCTAGTATTTTCCTATCTAACTTTGCAGGTCGTCTTACGTCAGCAGGGCGTGTGAACGTCGACTACTAGCTACATGCGCCGAGTCGACGACAACCTACTATCCCGGCGGACGATCCTCTAAATGACCTACAGCAGCTGCGCCAAGATTAAAATAGAAAAGCGACTGTTGATTGCGCAGTGATGGACGCGTTTCAGTTTGATAAGGTCCGAAGCCCCGCCCGTCGCACTGCAGAGAAGCCAATACCGGATATACGACTTCCTAACGGCGCGCCTCTAACTGCAATTCCTGCAGACCCTGAATCACGGGGAGCGCCCCTCATGTAAACCTGCGCAGCTATATTTGCTCGGCGCGTGGCCGGTAGTGTGGTCCAAGGATTACGTCGGGTCGTTCAACGGGCGCCTCCTCCTCCCCCTCACCACGGCACGCGACCAAGGGGGGAATGCGAGGGCGAGGGCGAGGGCGAGGGGGGACATCAATCGGCTGCCGGACCCCCTGCAGGACATGCCATTCCGCGAGGTAGCTAGGTGTGCTGTGTGCATGCATGCACATGTGGTTGCGCACGTAACCCAAATCAAGGCACGAAAAGACAGATCTGGAGGCAGGCTAAACGTCGTGAATGTAGCCTAAACAGGTGGCTCCTCTCCCTGAGACACGATGACAGCAGTAATTTGTAGGTTTGTAGGTTTTAGTGGATTTTGTTGCCTTCGGAGCCAGGAATGAACTAGCGTGTCAAGTGCGGTGTTGCCGGGGGCAGCACAGGTTGGCGGTTGGTCGCACGCATGCCGCCGCTGCCGCCGCCTCCGTGTTTGTTTCCGCGCCGCCAAGCCCTGTCCGTCCCACTTGGACCACGACCTCGACAGGTGTGGCCCGAGAACTACGGCATGAAGGCCGCATACCGCGAGCCTTCCCCGACCAAGGCTCGTGCCGTGTGGTACTACGATATCACACCAGAGCACAGCTTCTGGCGGCCGCCTAGTAACCAGAGGGAAATGGGAATGGGGGTGGGAATGTCGGTGGTGGGGGTGGGGGTGATGATGGTCGCAGTGGGCGCGCTGAGCCACTTGCGGGGCCCTGAGGGACGACAATCACGCTTGGTGTGCCCGGCCATCAAGCACCCCGTTGGAGCGGTTGGTACAGGCGGCAGTAGCCTGTTCACGGCGGTTGGGACGAGCAAGAATGACCCCATAACTGCAGATAACAGCAATAACAACAACAAGCAAACTGCTTCCAAACATGTTGCATTAGTAGGTTCTGAACTAATCGCAAAGCTGCTACAAGAGCATTTCAAAGAGTACGACTACGACGGGTGGGTGGGTGTAGTGTGCAGCAGAAGAACGCAGGCCAGCACGGGCCCTTCGCATTGCAGTACGGCATCAGTACGATATCAGCACCAAGCGTGCGGTGGGGCTTCTAACGGCTGCGGCAGCGGAGGTGGAGGCGGCGGCAGTAGAGATGGTAGGGGCGCCAGTGGCGAGGGTAGCGGAGACGGCAATGGAGGCGGCGGTGGCGGCGGCGGCGGAAACCGTGGAAGGCCCGGGGTTCGTGATGTACCCGAGTACGACTGGTACGGGATACGAACTGCGTGTGCTGTGAGAGCTCTTACCCCCTCAGTGTGTGTTCGTGCGCCCGAGCTGGCACCTCGCCGCAACCGCCAACATGTGTTTTTAAAAACTGTGAACCAGCACATGCTCATGCACAACCTTAGGCGCACACACGCGCATGGATTTGCGCGAACGAACGAGGGTATGAGTTGCAATACATGGCAAGACTGTGGTTGCCCGACATCGCCTGCTGCCTGGCTGTCCCCTTTTTGGCGACTGGTTGTTGCAGGAGGGCCGATCTGAGGTTCCACTTGGTGGGGTGGTGGCTGCTCTGGTTCGCATTGGCGCGGCCGCTTTGTCCGGCAGGGCTGGCGGTGGCTCTGCTGCCGCTGTGGCTGTTGGCCTCCCTCTGGTCGTACATATGTACATGGAAATACCACCACCACCACCACCACCACCACCACCTACCACCCCGGGAGCGGTAGAACCAGGTCGGGTCCCGACGCACTAAGTGTGTGTGATCGTGCGCCGTGTGCTGATTGACTGCCCCGTGGGGGGTGGAGTGGTGCAACAACCGCCCGCAACCGCTTACTCAGGGTCTAGAGCTAGAGCTAGAGGCGGTTACTTGCTTATTTTGGATGTCTGAACGACTGACTCTAAATGACTCTTGACTCTGGATGGCGCTGTCTTCCATTTGGCTTGGCAGGAAAGTGATGGCGTCATGCATGAGGGTTTTATAGCTGCACATGCAATGTGGATATGTATATGTGGTAATGTAGCAATGCGGTAGTACCGCGGTACGGCAGCAGTACTGTACGACGGGGATGTAAATGCAGTGATGAGGTTAAGGCATGGCGATGGCGGTGATGGTGGGGGGGGTGATGGGGGTGATGGGGGTGATGGGGGTGACGGTGGGATGGTGGGATGGTGGTTATGGGGGTGATGGGGGTATTGGTGGAATTGGTGATAGTGGTGATGGTGGCGGTGGTGTTGACGGTGATGGTAGTGGTGATGCAAGTGGTGGCATTGCTGTTGCTGTTGCTCTTTATGGTGGTTGACATGGTGGTTGACATGGTTGATGCCACTCCGTGTGTATCCTGTCTGGAACCGCCCCGTGCTGGTGCTGCACATGATGCGGTGCATCACAACAAGGACATCTGGAAGCGAGAACCTGAAAGTTAGAGCTGAAACCGCACGGTTGTTAGTTGTCATCAACATCCCCAGGCGGTGCCGTGGAGTGGAGCAGTGGTAGCACCTAATCTCCCCTCCCGTTCACAAAGAGATGGGCACCACGACCCGGTATTGACTTCCATTCTATTAAAGGCAACTCGTTCCAACAGCAGCTCGCGCACTGCTTTTGAAGAACTGTATTCGATCGCCACTGTATCGAGCAGCAGTGAGGTTTCCTCCCCAAGCCCTTTATGCGAGTGAGTGTGGTTTTCCGCAGGTGGGGAAAACAACCCTGGGCAAGGAGGGCACGAAGTTCTTTGTGGGGGTCGCCGAGCCGCGGGCATGTGTGGGTTCGTGTGGGCTACCTTAGATTGTAACGCATGGTGCGCTCGCACGCTGTGTTGTAATTCGGCTGGTTGCTGTCGGGATCGAACAGGGTGCTTGTGGTGACCCCCCCCCGGGCAGCAAGGGCCTTTAATATTAACGTGTCAATACCCGTCCACCCGTCCAGCCACCCGCCCGGGGATAACCCCCCCTCTCCCACAATGAAGAAGGATCCCGAGTGTTTGTATGTGTGTGTGTGTGTAGAGGGGGAGAGCTTGTGGGTGTGTGAGGTGTGTGTTTGGATGTGCGTGTGTGTGTATATGGGGGGGTGTATATGGCTGTGTGTGTGGGCAGGGGAAGGGAGGGGGACCGGGATCATTACACGCGATGACGCTCTCTAGTCACCCCCGAAGGTCCGCCGCCAAAGCGCCAGCACTGTAGTCCTCAGGCATGACATCGTCCATGCAGTCGAGATAAGATGCGGAAGAGCTAGTCGAAACCGAATGTCTCGATACCATTTGTAGTTTTCGTTGCCAAATAAATCGTGGAGTTGTTACAGCAGGGTGGGGCAGAGGTGATGGGTAACGCAGTCAAGGTAAAGGAAGCGCCAACAGCTCAGCCGCGCAATTGCAACCTCTGGACAACGATGGGTACAGGGTCAGCAAGCCAAATGTTGTGCCTCTGATAGGATTAGCTCGACCATGTTTGTAAATCTTGCGTAAATTTCAAATGTACGCCTAGGCAAGGACACAAGCTTTCCAACACTTTACCGAAGGCACAACTTCAGGCTTTCACTTCTGTGTTCAAGTTTTAAGATAAAAACCGATGAAGCATGTGTACCTGCGAAACTGGGCTCCCACGACTTCTAACTAACGACAGACCTATGGAACAACTGTTGCGTTCAGGAAAGATACTAGCGCAGTACCACTCAACAAGTGAGGCTTAAGAGTGATCTTGCAGCGATAAAATGCAATATATCTGTCATCGATCCGGTCGTTTTAGATATCTTAAGGAGACAGCAACAGGCTCGGAAACCTTGACATCGTTCCAGGACATAAGCTTCTGAGGTAAGTGATGTACTAATATCGCCATTTTTTGCACAAGGCACACAGCTAACTCCGAAAGCGAAAAAGTGCGGTACCGTTAAGTGATGATGCTGGGCACGCCGATGAAGTGATGTTGTGTGCATACATGTCGCCATAATGCTGCTTCCACGTCACTTATGGCATCGTGTCAATTCCTGGTACACGTCACGAGGGCGGCAACCGTCTGCACTCTAGCCCTGAGTGCACTTCGGCTATGGATTCCCTAGCTGTGGACCCCTCCGCGCTAACTTTCACAGAAAAGAAAACTCTATTTTCATCTATATGCAGCGCCGATTATGGCACACCGTCCGTCGGCCGACTTGTCAACAACCCCATCTCAGCGCCTTCTTCCTTTCGCCACCAGCTCGAGCACCATTACCCCAAGTTTATAACCACTTCCGTCTCCGGCAGCGATCGCCTGGCACCGGCAAAGCTCTTTGGCGAAACAACCTCCACCACCCCGGGCGGCAGCCGCAGCCGCAGTGACGGCAGCGCTGCCGCCTTCAACCGCCTCGATCGCAAACATTCCCATAAACTCATCCTCGAGGTGGCCACGCAGACCGAGGGACTCTCCCCCTCGACCTCCCTCCCGCCGCAGTCCCTCCCCCCCGCCGCCAACACCGCCATCAGCCCGCTTGACTCCTCTGAAGCAGACGCGCTGTTCTGGCTCCCACAAGCCCCACACGGCACGGCACAGGGCCCCTGCCACACCCCCACCCCCACCTCCACCCCCGGCCCCGCCATCATCCCCCCCGGCGCCAGCTCCCCAATGAAGCCAGCTCCCCACACAGGCACCTGCTGCTCTTGCCGAGGCTGTAACGCCAACCAGGGCATTCTTAAAGGGAGGAAGGCGGGGGCGGAGGATGGCGACGATGAGGTGGAGGTGGAGGGGCAGGCCGCATGCAGAGGTCGTTGTCACGGCGTTAGCAGTGGCGGTGTCAGCTGTAGCAGCAGCTGTGGCAACAGCGGCGGTGAAGGCAGCTGCACCTTGCTGCATGTGGCCACGGCAGCCGGGTGTGCAACGGGGGGATACAGCAGCAGTAGCTCCGACAACCACCACAACCACCACAACCACCATAACCACCATAACGACCGGCCTCTGCAGCTCCGCCTCCGCCTCATTGCGGATCTCCTGTCCCAGCTGGTCTCGGAGACGCGGGAGGAGGGCCGCGAAGTGGACCCGCGGGTGGCCAGGGCGATGAATCTAGCGACCTCGCAGACCGTACAACTACCACCACAACCGTTACAACCATTTCTGGAGCCCTTATCGGGGCCGTTATTAGGTTCGGAGCCGCCGCCGGGCCCAGAGCCCACGTCGATGCGGTTGACGCCGGGTTCGGAGCCGGAGCAGCCGCCGCCGTCGCCGGCGGCGGTAGCAGGTGCTGTTGTTGGCGGCGGTTGTGGGGGTTGTGGAGCAAAGAGGGTTTCGGAGCTGGCCAGGTCCGCGGCGGAGGTAACGAGGTGAGCTCAGGGGATCCGGGAGGGAGGGAGGGAGGGAGGGAAAGACGAACCACGAGCGAGTGAAGCTGAAGGAGGGAGGGAGGGAGAGGGGGTTTTGACAAGTAAGAGGAGGGCATGGAACTGAAGGGCTGGAAGGCGCGCGGATGGTGTGCGCCGGAAAGGCGGAGAACGGGTGCCCAGTGCCTATGGGGTTGATGCTTGTGTCGTACACATCCTGGGGAAGACATCCCCAACAGATACCAACACCAGAATTGATTTCTATTCCCTTTCCCGTTTTGATTTCAATTCGCCCCTAACGGCTTCCCTCAACATGCAGCTCTGCATCGGATGCCAATGCGGGTGCCGTTGGTAGTTGTGATCGGTGTCGTGGTAATGATGGGGCTAGCAGCAGTAGCAGCAGTAGCAGTAGCAGTGGCTCAATCGAGTCGCTCAGAGAGCAAGCTCGGGAGCTACGAATGCAGCTACAGAGGCGCGCGTTAGCGCAGTACGACATGAACAGGTACGGAAAAAGGCGCGGGAGCGCTTTTTTGTTAACCTGATGGTGGGATTGTAATTAATCTTTTGGAAGGGGTCCTCCAAAAGGAGGCTGTTTCGTTTCGGGGAGCAGGTCCTGACCGAGAAGATGGGGTTTTTTGAATGGCGAGTGGTTTGGCGGTTGCCAAAACAGGAAACACAACGATAAACCTGCGGCCCGATGCCTGATTTGGCCATGCGTGCGACTAAGCAAATTCGTTTGACTTCCGCCGTGTTTGTGCTTTTGCGCTTCTTCCCGATGAAAACTGCGGTCTGTGTGGTTTTATGTTTTCCGTACCATTTCCGTACATGTAACCCGCACCTACCCGCAAGTTCCCCATTGTCTCCCGTCGCCTCGTGCCGCATGGTGACGTCACCCGGCGGCTCGTCAGGACGGCGGCTGTAGCTCTGAGGCGCAGTTTGCACCAACTTAAGGAGGCTGCGGCTGTAGCCACGTTAGCGGCTACTGCCGCTACCGCCGGTTCTGCTGCTGCTACAGCTGTAACGTCCTCCCGCTTGCCTGGCCAAGGTCGCAGTCAACTAATCATCGAACGAGGCGCCTACCCGGGCGGTACGGCAGTGCCTGCATCAACACCGCCATCAAAATCAGCAGCAGCGTCAGTGTCGGCATTAGCACTGCCGTTAATGCCACCGCCGTCGGTGGCCCTCCGTCGGGTTGGCTCTGCACCGTCACAGCATCAGCAGCTGCTGCAGCTCGAGCAGCGGCGACAAGCCGAGCTGGCAGCACAGTGCGCCCGGCTACAGCGCCAGTGCGACGGTTTATTGTCGTACATTTCCTTGCTCAGCGGGAGCGCCTGTGCCGCCGCCGCCGCCGCTCCTGGTGCGGGGCCGCGGGAGCGGGCTGCTGGTGTCCAGGTGCTGCTGCCGGCGGCGGCAGTGACAGGGCCGCCACCGCCGCCGCCACCGCAATGTGCGGATGATAGGCGGCACGGTAGGCTGCTGCGAGTGAGGCTGGTGCTACTGCCGATGGTGCCTGACGGTTCTGTAGCAGTAGCGCGGCGACAGCCTGGAACCTGGAGCAGCAAGCGCCAGGGGGGGAATATCTGGATTAACGCGGCTGCTACTGCTCCTACCGCTGCTGCTGCTACCGCTGAAGCTACTGATGATGATGATGAGGAGGAGGAGGCGGAGGAGGCTGATTTCTTGGAGTCCCCGGTCCGTGTGAAGCTGCAGTTGACTGTTTGTCGTACTGCGGTGTATTGCGGTTTCGGAGCCGGGCTGGAGCAGCGGAGCGAATCGGAGGTGCAGTTGTCGTTGTCTGGCTGGCTGCCCGCCCTGCGGCCGCTGAGGCTGCCGCTACTGCCTTTTGCTGGCGGCGCCGCTGCTGATGCTGCTGATGCTGCTTCTTCTGCCGGCGGCGGCGTTACAACGGCGCCGTTGCAGCAGGACGGATTGCCAACGAGGTGGCAGCTGGCGGCAGCTACATCCGCAGCTGCAGCGGCGGCGGCGTCGACGGCGGCGTCGACGGCGGCAGCTGAAATGTTGAGAGTACAACGGGCGGCGTCGGAAGTGGGCAGTAGCGGCGGTGGTCTTGACAAGGCAGTGAAGACGGGAGGGGTTGGCGGCGGCGCGCTGGCGACGGCGGTGCGGCAGCTTGTGGCGGCGGTGGAGGAGCAGACAGGAGCCGCCGCCACCGTCGATGGCGCCGCCGATGCTGCTGCGGCTACGGTACCGCCCGTGCCCCGATCCGTACTTGACGGCCTGCGAGGCGTTCTGCAACAACTTAGGGATGGCGGCGGCGACGACAACGGCAGCGGCGCGGCCGGTGCTGACGTCGGCAGCGCCGGCAACGGCGTGTCTCTGCTTCCGTTGCCGCCGTCGCCGGTACGACACCAGCAGCTGGGCCGTTCCGCTGGCACCTCCGCTGACGCAGCTAACGGAAGTCAATTCCCAGCGCCGTCGATGGCGCTGCCGCTGCCGCTGCCGCAGCAACCGGGCGTTAGGGCGCCGCGCCCGGAGTCCAGCAGTCCACTTGCTAATGCGGACGGAAATCGCGCGGCGTGTGTGTGCGGCGAACCTGATTGGATAGACATACTGCAGGACATGTACGGCGAGACGCATTTGCTGCAGCTATCGCCGTCGCCAAAGCAGGGGGAGGCTGTGCCCGAGGAAGCGGCTGCGTCGTGTCGTACGACGGTGACCGTGACGGCGGCGGCGCCTCCTAAGACGAACCAGATGGCCACCGCGTTAGCGATGGTGTCGGCGGCGGCGCGGACTGAAGTAGAAGCGCTGCCGTCGGCGGCGGTGGCCGCGGCGGCGGCACCGACGGCGGCGACGGCAGCAGCGGCGGCGACGGCGTCGGAGCCCCGGGAGGAGGAAGCGATTGCGTTCACAAGTACTCTAGAGCGGCGCACAAGAAGCGCGCCGGTCTCCGCTTCCGCCGCCGCAGCCGCGGATCAATTATTGTTTGGCGGCGGCGGCGGCAGTAGCAGCTACGATGCAGCTCCCGTGGCGGAGCTACGGCACGGTGGCGGCGTCTTCGCCTCGGCAGTTGCCGCCGCCGCCGCCGCTACAGCCCTGGAAGACTGCGCCGTAGGTGCCGCCGCCGCCGCCGGCCGGCCGTACAGCGGTGCCAGACGCATTCCAGAGCGCGTCGCCACACCTCCTTGCAGCCCCCGTACCTCTCCATGTACTCCCGCCGCCAGCCACGATTTAAGCGAGTTGGATCCGGATCCGAATCTTGCCGGCAGCCACCTCGGATCCTGCTCGGCCGCAGCCACCGGCGTTGACGGTAGCGGCAGTGGCAGCGGTAGTGGTAGCGGTAGCGGTAGCGGCGGCGGCGGCGGCTGTTGCTTTGATGACGGAGACTACAGCTGCCGGGACTATTGGTACGGCTACGAGGATCTGGATCTGGCGGAGTGGGACGAGCTGGCTGCTGCTGCTGCTGCTCATGGCCCCACGGCTCTGTTGACCGCCGTGGGGGTCCTCCGCGAGCAGCTTCAGTTTGCGCATTTGGAGATTGTGTCGCTAACTACGCAGGTACGGCATTATGACATGTACCCTCGTCTAATACCCCCCTAAATACACACACACACACACACACACACACACACACACACACACACACGCGCGCACAGCCCCTACCTCCCGCGCCCGTCATGTGAATAGACTGTCTACGTATCTTCATCCTTTGCGGCCTCCGTCCATCTTCCGCCCTCCGCTCCCCACCTACCAACCTCCCCACGACGTCAGTTTATAATTCATTTCCCTTGCATCACTTAGGATTTGCCCACCTCCCCGCCTCCGTGCGTATGTATGTACAGCTGGGGGCGCTAAGTCACCAGCGTGAGGGTCTGCGGGCTCGCGCCAGTGAGCACGACGCGGCTCTACAGCTCCTGGCCATTAACGAAGGGGAGGCCCTGCTGGAGGCCCAGCGACTGAGGCGCCAGCTGGCTTCGGAGCGGGCGGCTCGGATCCGACTGAGTGCGCAGTGCGACGACCTTCGGAACATGTGAGTGAGGGGGGAGAGAGGGGGGAGGGGAGGGTTGTGTCCGCCCTGTGTACGTGTCTGTTTTGATATAGTCTGTGCGTATAAGGGCGTTTTGTATGTCTGTATGTCTGTAGATAGGTAGGTATTGCTAGGCTCGGATATGTGCGTGGCGAGCACAGGGAAGGGTGTAGTAGCCCAGTAGACCCAGATGGAGGCGGTGTTCCCTTTTGTCGTGTAGCAGTGGCTGAGGCGCCCACCGGGATAAGGGAGAGAAGGGGATGAGGAAATAGGAGATTGGGCATGGAAGGGGAGAGAAGGGAAGGGGAAGGGGAGGGGAGGGAAGGTGGGAGGGGAGAGGATTCATCAACCGGGTGGCGCATGCGCTCTCTGTTGTACAGTGTACACGGTGTGCGGTGCACCCCCGCGTGTGTGTGTATGCGTAACTCCCCTTCCCGAACCCTCCTGGCGTCCCCTGTTCTCCGTTTCCCCCCCCCCTAAAACACACACTTCTCCCCCTAGCCTCTAATTATTACCCCACATGGGGATTGCAACAAGCCACCCTCCGACCCGTTGTTCAACACACGCCCCCTCGCCCACTTGCCCACTTTCATCCGCCACCTGCAAACTCACCCAGGGTTTTGTCGGGTCTCCCGTACCTGACCGGGCAGTCCCCCCTTGGGCCACTGCCGCACGTGAGGGGGGGAGCGCTCAGTACGGCAACACTGGCCACAGGAGGGGGAGAAGGGGGAGGGGGAGCTGCGCAGCTATTCGGCTCACCCAGCAAGCCTACGTTAGAGGCGGCGCCGTATAACTGTCATAACGATAATAACCACCAAAAGAACTACCAACGCATTCACCATTCCGGGAACCTGCTGCGGCGGCCTCATGGATCCAACTACCCCAACAGCAACAACCACCATCACCATCATCACTACGGCCTCAGTCAGCAGCAGCAACACCATCAGCAGGGGTGCGATGCCCAGCAGTTGCAGCAGTTGCTGCTGCAGCACCAACAGCAGTTGCTGCTACAGCAGCATCAGCAGCAACAAGGCCAGCAGCATCGGGTTGCGTTGTTGCAGAGGCATCGCTCTGCGCCGCGACACCGACCGAATCCGGGGGCCGTATCAACCGAGGGAGGCGGCGAGTGGGGCGTTAGCGGACTTGTAGGTTTTGGAGGTCAGGCGCCGAGTTCTGTCGTGCATGGCGAGCTGTTACTTGGTCAATAAGTCTTTCGGATTAATATAGTTTTGTTTTTGTATGTTTGATGTTTATGATTGCGGTTTCCTGTTAGGTATGGCAGCATTTGCAGTTGGGCAAGAGAAGAATTACGAATACTTCTCTTGCCCAACTGCAAATGCGTCTCGCTTGTCATCTTGGTGCTGGTTGCGCTCGGCGGTAGTATTACGATGGCAAATTGTTTGTTCGTGTCTTGCATGAGATGGGATGGGGCGCCTAGCTTTCCTCAAACACGCACTTGTTGATGTTTCAGGATGGACAAGTCGGCAGCAGTGATCTCGAGACCAATTGATTCTAGGTTTTGTGTAGGCGTTGATAAAGGCTGTCTGATTGCACGTTGCTCATTGGCTTGCGTGGGCAAGCTGCGACAGCGAGAAAGTCTACCCGGGTATGGTAACCGGCTGTCGGTAAGAGATAGGAGCAAATGTTAGGATCAACGTAGCTATAAAGCCGGCTTTTGTCGATCGGTATTATTTTTCGGATCTAGCAGGGTTTTGGATTTCTATGTATAGTCTGAAGAGAGTGTTTCGTTGCAGGCTCCTGAGTGGTAGCTTTCGCAGTTCAATTTTCGCAAGGATGATAGTCCACTGTTATCTTTTGATGTTTGTGAAAGACAATCCGAATAGCTATGGCTATGGCAAATGCATAGCCAATGGTTGTGCAAGCATTCTTCGGCTAGTGTTGCGACGGTTCGTGCATGTCCCAATTCCGTGGCTCTCGCTGGATTTGGGTTCATTTTTCAATGTGACCGATGTACGTGGAAAGCTTTTGGTTTGCACACGGCTTCCAGCAGGACGGTACGGATTTGGCCGGATCAGTCAACATGTCAGCGGGCCCCACACGTTTTGCGTATGTTCGTTTCTTGCATGTTACACAGGTTATATGAATAAACTACACATGCAATCAGGAGTATCTTTGTAAAGGTTTTCGGGATCGCACGTTCGGGCATCGCCCAGTTGTATCCCTGGTCCAGCAACCGGTTCGCGATTCGTGTGCATATCACGAAATTTATCGCAAGACCGTTTGCAATAGGGATTTTACCCTAAGGCAAAAATGCAAGCTTATCGTCGATTGCAAGATGGCCGTTCGGCAAGCCAGGCCATGCCGCGGTTGCAGCCGAGAGCAGTCCTGAAGCCGCGGCAAAGGCCGCTAAGAAACCTGGGCCGCGCGGAGACGGCAGCGCCGGGAGTGATGGCCCCGGACTCTGGTCCACAGGGCGTCTCCTTTGATGGCTGGACCAGCATTAGCGACGCGGAACGATACCTGCGTGAGCAGTGAGTGATTAGAATACAGTCAAGATGAGCAAATGTCAACTATTGCGTCTCAACGCACCTTTTTGAGGTGCTTCCCCTGCCTCCCACCCACCCTACCTCCTTTAAGTACAGTACGACAGGACATATGGTTGGTTTCGCTGTATCTGTAATTAGGCAGGCAAGCAATCCAGGCTACGTTGGAGGCTGGACGAGTACGAAAGAAAGGGCGACAGTCAAGAACCCCCTTTCTTACATAGCCGTACGCCTTGTTACGCCCCAAGTCCCGTTACTATTGCATAACATGTGATATCTGTCGCATCCCTTTTGTTGGATAAGGCACCCTCAGCATTTTGGTGTTCGTTGCCCCGGGATGTCGTACATTGCGTGGGTGCGAGATCTTGAAAAACGTCGAGAAAAGGGCGGAGGAAGGTTGCGAGGAAACGGAGGAATGGTGTCTCGCAAGCAGCTGGGGCTCTGTACCACTCTCTTGCCATTCCCTCCTACACCTCCACTCCTAAAAGAGTAAAAGGGGAGGGGGCCGGGGACCCACCCACACGTGATCCCAATATTTTGTCGCCCTCTTTCGCCCTCTTCCCCCTAACCCCGAAGAACCTAGGGTTTTCCGCACGTAACCCCTCTCCCCCTCCCTGCCTCCCCCGTCCCCCCCTTCCCCTCCTGCCTGCCTGCCTGCCAGGAACCCCTACCCCCGTGCACTCGCTTCTGTGGACGAGCTGGAGGGTGGGCCGTACACCGGGCGCAAGGCAGTGGTAGTGGGTGCGGGTCCAGCGGGCTCGGTGGCGGCCATGTTCCTGGCCCGACAGGGCTTCCGAGTGGACGTAAGAAAGGGAGGGGGAGGGGGAGGGGGAGGGGGAGAGGAGGGGGAGGGGGAAGGGGAGAGGGGAAAAGCGGCGAGGGGTTAGGGCGACGGAAAAATTCGAAGGGGACAATCTGTTGCCCTGCCCCTGTTGCTGTACAACGTGGGTGGCATGCACGCGTCGGATGGGAGCATGACACACTTTCACACGTGGATTGTACGGCGGCGACTGTGTCGTACAGGTGTACGAGCGTCGTCCCGAGCCCCGCAACGACCCGGTCGACACAGGTCGTGCCTACATCATCATTCTGATCCCCCGGGGTCAGGCGGCGCTCAATGAGGTGTGTATTGGTGTGTTTTTCTTTGTGTATGTGTGTATGTGTGTGTGTTAAGGGTGGGGGGTTTACGTAATGGTGTAGCTGCGCGCGTGCGTGTTTCCATGTTTGAATGAACTACAAGTATTTGTGTATGTGTAGTTGCGCGTGTTTGGGTGGGGCAGTGGGTGTCAGATGGGCCTGGGGGTCGCCAGTGGGGTGCAGGGGCCTAGGTGCCCCGAGGTGCCCGGTGGCGCTCCTGCCTGGGATGAACACATACATACATACATACATACATACATACATACATACATACATACATACATACATACATCCAGACATACATGCACATACAGACATACATATGCACAAGGGCATACACCCCTTTCCCCTCCACCGCCATGCATTCCCATCTTCTTACCCCTACCTACCGCCGTACACGTCCGTGGCCGGCACCGTGACCGGCAAATACACACCCATACACCCACAGTTGGGCATCAAGCTGCCGGCTGACGAGCACTTCAAAACCCTGGGCACCGTCAGCCACAACGTGAAGGGCAAGGTCCGGGTGAGCAAGGAGGAGGGCAATGTCACCTTCAGTCGCAGCGGCCTCGCTCAGTGGCTCATTGACACGGCACGGGAGCGCTACCCGGGCCGCATCAACTACTACTTCCAGGCGGGGGCGGG